GGAATGCATTTATTTTATTAGTGTTGCAGGCTTGGTTCCTGCTTTGAAGACTTCTGGACAATGGAGGTGCAGACCAAATGGTACAATATGGTTTATACCCCAAGTGTTTGTAAGAGTTCAATCCCTGACTCATTATTTTGTGTAGAAAGAATTGAAGGAGAACAGAAGTTGGGTGAAATTCCATTGAGCAAGTGTGATCGAGTTTATCAATATTGCCAGATGAAAAGTATTACATGCTGTCATTATTGTCTTTTGAATGCAGGAGAAGTTAAAATAGAGGACATGGGTTGAAATGTATCAAAAAAAGAATGATTATATTCCATATTATTATCTATGTATGAGAATGATAAATTTAGGATTAGGGAACTCTGCAGCGAGTGTTTATGTATTCATTGTTTATTTTAAACAAAAGCAGGCAACGGTTAGAAAACACTCTCTGTCTTGAGAATGCCTCACCCCTCCTTTCTTTCCCTCTCCCTCTCACTCTCCCTCCTCTCAGTATCCTTCGCCAGGAAGTCTATTCCTAATATGTACATGTTTTTCTGTATATGTGGCGATTTTATACAAAACACATGTTCTTGGCCAAAACATCCTGTATGTGTATGTCACCCTATCCTCATTGGTTAAGAGGGTGAAACTCCCCTCGACATGCCTATATACGATCTGTATTTCTATGAATAAATTGAAGTATTGAGAATACATTTTAATGTGTGTTTTCTTACTTCCCGGCCGTATTTACACTTTAAGGAGACTGAGAAGATTTCACGGTGGCAAAAAGAGATATCGAGGGACCAATTGTTATTTTTATTAACAGATAGTTTCGAGATTTTATCTGGTCTTGATGAAATATATAACTGAGTATCATCGGCATAGCAGTGGAAACTAATTCCATGTTTTCTAATAATGTTGCCAAGTGGCAGCATGTACTGTATATTGAAAATAACAGAAGGCCTAACACGGATCCTTGTGGCACCCCTTAATTTACTGATGTTAACTTGGATTTTTCACCATTTAAGTAGACAAAACGGTAACAGTCTGCTAAATACGATCTTAGGGTGACCATACGCCCTATTTTTCCCGGACATGTCCTCTTTTCGGGCCTAAAAATGCTTTCTACAGTCGCCATTCATCTTGTGCGTTTTTGTATTAGAGCCCTGTGCGAGTCTGTTTTCTAAATCCCGCTCATGCTGAATTTCTGATCATTATCGCCCACTCCCGCAAACATTCTATGGCATATTATTTTCACGCATCAGGAAGCCGCTATCAATATACAGAGTATTTAAATCTCTTTTGAATGAGCACTCGCTGTGTACTTTCACTTTCGATTTCACGATCACGCTCACTCTGTGTAAAGGAAGATCAGATATTTGTCAATAAGCTCAGGATCTGTTGATCAGCAAATCATCCAGCATGGTCTGTCAGCCATCTCTCCTCTCATCCCGTGATCAGTCAAATCTGACTCTTACAGCTGGTGTTGAATGCATGCAGGGTTGTCAAGTCCACGTTTTTTTCCCCCTTGGAATCGGGCTGCTTTTAAACTGTTGCCATGGATTGATTTTCCCCCGTGGGTTAAAGGTTTGAAATGTTGCATAAATCACATTTGTTTGAAATGCTTGTATTGAAACATTTTGCATTCTAAATATGATTGCTAGATGTTAAGTGAAGTGGGCCACTGGTAGGAAGCTTTTTAGCTGTGTTTATGATCAATACGCACAACAGTGATTGTAAAATATGTATTTTAGGTATGGAAATTACATATTTTTTGATATTTTGATATAATGTTGATATATGGGATATGGTCATTGCGCTACTTTGGCCATTACTTTAACCACAAACCAACCACACTCCAGCCCCCCGCCCCGCCCGCACCCATGTCCTCTTTTTGGAAAACTAAAATATGGTCACCCTACATGATCTAAACCACTGTAACACCTGTCCCTGAATACCAGTGTAATTTTTGTAGTCGGCCTAAGAGTATGTCATGGTCTATACTGTATTGTTGAACGCAGCACTAAGGTAACATATTTTTAAAATATGATCAGAATATCAACGTACGTGCCTAATAATTATTCAAGCGCTGTACAAGTCTTGTTTTCTGATAAAAATGATCAAATTTAGGTGAGTTTATGCTTAAGACATGGGTTAAGAGAAATAATCTTGTTGATTTTTCTGACCCAATTTTTCATGTTTTAAATGTAAACTTCATTTTGATCTATATTTCTGAAAACAAGATTTATAAATAGTCATTTTGCAGTAAATAATTCTTGATTTAAGGATGTTTAGATATTTGTACTAGAAAAGATCAAATACAAAATAATAATAATAAGTGTGCTTGTTATTTTCGGTTTTGCTTAATTTTGATGAATGATTTACATGATATGATCTTAACTAAATGTTTATTTTTTATGTTGTTTCTAGGATTATTACACAGTAAGCTGATTTGCCACTGTTGTCATATCCTGTCAGACAGAAATGAGAAGTCTGTATTGAAGGACCAACGAATTTCCTTATTTCCTCTGAAACGCTGAAGACTGAGAGAAAAAAAATTGTCCATGGGTTAAGAGAAATAATCTTGTTGATTTTTCTGACCCAATTTTTCATGTTTTAAATGTAAACTTCATTTTGATCTATATTTCTGAAAACAAGATTTATAAATAGTCATTTTGCAGTAAATAATTCTTGATTTAAGGATGTTTAGATATTTGTACTAGAAAAGATCAAATACAAAATAATAATAATAAGTGTGCTTGTTATTTTCGGTTTTGCTTAATTTTGATGAATGATTTACATGATATGATCTTAACTAAATGTTTATTTTTTATGTTGTTTCTAGGATTATTACACAGTAAGCTGATTTGCCACTGTTGTCATATCCTGTCAGACAGAAATGAGAAGTCTGTATTGAAGGACCAAAGAATTTCCTTATTTCCTCTGAAACGCTGAAGACTGATGAACGCTCGGAGATGTTTGCGCTCCTGCTCGTCTGCGGGATCCTGTTTGCTCAAGCTCAGGGTGAGAAAATCAGCACTTACCGATCAAAAATTACTGATGAGATCTAGTTCATTTTTTGTAACCTTTAAATAACATTTTAATTACGACTGGAAAACTGGACATTTGAACGTTTTAGAAACATTTTAAACAACATTTCCACAATGTTCCAAAAATATGTTTCAAGAATATTTTCCTTAAGTTCCCGTTAAGTTATGAAAACATTAAGTGTGCTTGTTATTTTCGGTTTTGCTTAATTTTGATGAATGATTTACATGATATGATCTTAACTAAATGTTTATTTTTTATGTTGTTTCTAGGATTATTACACAGTAAGCTGATTTGCCACTGTTGTCATATCCTGTCAGACAGAAATGAGAAGTCTGTATTGAAGGACCAACGAATTTCCTTATTTCCTCTGAAACGCTGAAGACTGATGAACGCTCGGAGATGTTTGCGCTCCTGCTCGTCTGCGGGATCCTGTTTGCTCAAGCTCAGGGTGAGAAAATCAGCACTTACCGATCAAAAATTACTGATGAGATCTAGTTCATTTTTTGTAACCTTTAAATAACATTTTAATTACGACTGGAAAACTGGACATTTGAACGTTTTAGAAACATTTTAAACAACATTTCCACAATGTTCCAAAAATATGTTTCAAGAATATTTTCCTTAAGTTCCCGTTAAGTTATGAAAACATTATTTGTGACTGTTCCCTGAACTTAAATGTATTAAAAAAAAAATTCTTCCATTTTATCATTTTGTGAATGTTACTTTTAAAAGTTCTCTGAGCATTCTGAAATGAGAAGTAACATTAGACAAAAAATGGCCACAAACAGCATGTAGCCTGTTTCCACAATGTTCCAAAAATATGTTTCAAGAATATTTTCCTTAAGTTCCCGTTAAGTTATGAAAACATTATTTGTGACTGTTCCCTGAACTTAAATGTATTAAAAAAAAATTCTTCCATTTTATCATTTTGTGAATGTTACTTTTAAAAGTTCTCTGAGCATTCTGAAATGAGAAGTAACATTAGACAAAAAATGGCCACAAACAGCATGTAGCCTATATATATAATGTTTTTGTGCTAACATTTTGAGAACATTAGCTTACTAAAAGACCAGAGAACTTTGAAAGAACATTCCTCATTAGCTGGGTAGTGACTCATTTGCGTCTGATTTTAATTCTTTAAAGAGAAACATCTGAGACAAATTTATTCGTAAATGATACGTAACACTCTATGAAATCATCAGAAGTATGAGTCTATGGTTCTTGATCTGGTTCTTGTCTGCATCTCTGCAGACGTTTGCTTCTCTGCATTTCTGAAATCGGTTCTGAGGCAGATTTCACATATTGACTTTTGTCCCACAAGTTCAGAAAATGATTACAGTGATAATGGTGCTGATATTAATGTTGAATTATTATTCAGTATACTCTTGTATTTATGGTTGATATGGATGAAAACTGTTGGATTTGGATTTACTGTAGTTCTTCTGCGCATTATAGGTTTGAGAGTTTATTTTCAACTACATAATTTATACTCTGAATCTAGTAAGAAATTATTTCCTATAAAATATGAAGTCCAGTTATACTGTCCATAATGCCATAACTTTATTATTTTTTAACACATGATTCCAGCACTTGTTGTATGTCTGTGAGCACAGTTCTCTAAATATTCTTACTTGGAAAAATACAAATAAATAAATAATTACAATAACATTGCATAAAAGTATTTCTGTCTCAGTATTTCTGTCGTTTTCCAGCACACATATCTGAACATTCTTAAATCTAGATACATTTACTTGAGTTTCAAAATGACATTTTTAAGCCTTTAAAATTGATTAAACAATAGCAGATATCTGACAACGAAGTCAGAAAATTTTACTTATTTTCAGTTTGAATTTTTCTGACCCCGTTGGCAGATATTTGTTCTTGTTTAAATAATAAACTTACTTCTAATTCTGTCATTTTGCATCTCAAGTAAATGCATCAGATATTTGCACTAGAAAATGACAAAAATACTGAGGAAGAACATCAGTTTTTGCAATCTACTCAACTGGCTTTGAGGAATTTTGTATATTGTAAATTGATTGATTAATTGATGTTAAATTCTCAGTATAGCTTGTTGAAAAGAGTTTGAATATGATGGGGGGAAAGTCTTAATGATTCCGGTTTGTGCATCAGATGGGAAAGCAGAAGTGAGAGGAGGATTGGGATGTTTGGGCTGATTGCGCAGTGCAGATCACTGACTCCACATGTTCTCTATAGCTCACCAAACACAAACACACACACACACACACACACACACACACACACTGCTTTCATTTCTCTTATCATTATTCACATTATCAAATTACCAATTTTGTAACTGACTTTAAAAAGTTATGACCAGTCTTGAAGAAAATAAATTAGATGACTAACTTTTTAAGACTAGCCTAAGCAGTTTATGAAACCAGCCTCTGATGCAAAGAGAGCCTATTTGCTGAAAATGTATTCACCCTCAGGCCATCCGAGATGTAGATTAGTTTGTTTCTTCATGGGAACAGATTTGGAGAAATGTAGCATTGCATCACTTGCTCATCAATGGATCCTCTGCAGTGAATGGGTGCCGTCAGAATCAGAGTCCAAACAGCTGATAAAAACATCTCAATAATCCACAAGTAATCCACTCCAGTCCATCAATCAATGTCTTGTGAAATGAAAAGCTGTGAGTTTGTATAATACATAATCAAAACTTTTTAAACGTTTGAAGCTTTAAGCTCTAAGAGTCCATAATACGTAAAAACACTTCCTCCAGTGAAAAAGTCCTTTTGTCCTCTCACATCAAAATCCACCAGCATATTTGTCTAGAACTGTTTTGGCTTCTAAACGGTGCTTGATCTGTGCTTATTTCTCTCCTAATTCAGACAAACCAATGTTTTCACTGGAGAAAGTGTTATTATGGAATGGGGACTCATATTTTAGCAAAGATTTGAAGTTAAAAAGGTCTTAATAATGGATTTGTTTATTACAAACACACAGCTTTTCATTTCACAAGACCTTAACTGATGGACTGGAGTGGTGTGGATTACTTGTGGATTATTGTGATGTTTTTATCAGCTGTTTGGACTCTGATTCTGACGGCACCCATTCACTGCAGAGGATCCATTGGTGAGCAAGTGATGTAATGCTAAATTTCTCCAAATCTGTTCCCATGAAGAAACAAACTCATCTACATCTCGGATGACCTGAGGGTGAGGTCATTTTTAAGCAAGTATTCATTTTTGGGTGAATTATTCCTTTGAAGAAGTTTGGTCAGCCTTCTTTTCTCAAACACAGATCTGAAGAGAACTTTGTAAACCGAGATATAGGTGGTCAGGTTTCGTGTGAAAACTAGTTTTAAATTAGTTAACCACACACAGTAACAATGAATGGTTTGTGGTTTTACTGCAGGAACATTTAGATCAAATCTGGAGAATATGACACTTCTTCAGCTATTTCTGTTCTGTTTCACATACTATTTAAAAATACTATTCAATATAAAGTGTGCAGTATGCAGTAGAGTTTGAATTCAAGTTGTCACCTTTATTTATAGCACTTTGTACAATACAGATTGTATAAATGCAGCTTCAAGGAAATATACAGTTTCAGTAACCTATTGGTAAAACGGACTAAATTTATGGATGTCTGGGTAAATGAGAGGTCAAGAAAGTGATCAAAATGTCATTATAGTCATAAAACATTCATTGTTGCAAAATGATGAGAGAAGTTCTCATTTTGATAAATTTTTACTGAATTTATATGTTTTCTCTTTTTACTGGATCATATTCAAAACACAAATTTCTAAGGCCTCTAAATGATGAACATGATCAAAACTGTGCTGCTAAACCTGTCGCACACAATCTATTACATACCTTCTGTTGTCTGATTGATAGTCAACACTTTTTTTAGCAAGTAAAAGGTCTTTGAGTATAATTGTACAAACGTCCACCTTCATCTTGTGCTTCAATAAGTAAACATAAGAATAACTTTGATACTGCTAGTAATATTTCAAGATGCACACTTACTGGACTGATGCAACTTAGCTTTACTTGATTATCCAGAACTCTTTTTTTTTTTTTTTTTTTTAGAAAAATCAAATGAGAGTCAAATATAATCATCTGGATTTTGTTTCCAGAACCTTTACTTCCACCATTCCTCATTGGAGGAATGATCTTCCCAAACCTCTACAACATCTAAAATCTCATCTTTTGAGGAACGTTTATTTGTTTTGATCATAAAAACTTAAGCATTTAAATATCATCTTACTAAGACATATTATTGGAGATATAGAGTGACGTCTAATATTTATATAATTTCTGTAAGTATCTGCTATACTGTTATAAAGATCTCACTGATTTGCATTACAATCAGAATTTCATCTCAATTTTTGTCCATGTAAATATCAACATCTGCATCAAATTGCATATTTTTGCTTAGTTTGAGTCTCTGAATAAAACTGAGCTGTTTTTTCCTCCATATTTTCACTATATCATATATGAGCCATAGAAGCCTGATGGATCAAATATGATACAACACATGAAACACAAATGCAAACTTTTTTAGTTCAATAAGCTGTTCCATTTCAAAAAAAGATTTTTCGGACTATTATTTCACATGTCCGGCTTTACAGGTTTATCTTTCTGTCTGTTTTGACTGGCAGGTTGGTCTGAGCCGCGGATCAGACTGAACTCTGGAGCTCCGGTCGGTACGGCTGTGATTCTCGACTCCGGTTCTCCTCTTCATCTGATCTGTGAAGGTGATGGTCCAGTCACATGGTTTCCCCGACTGGCCAAACAGAAGCGTTTCATCTCCAAGGAAATCGGAAATGTCCGTAGTTTCTATGTGGATATAGCCACGGCGGATTTTACAGGAACTTATAAATGCATCTATATGAACGGAAATGATTCAAATGAGTCATCTTCGGTTCATGTGTTTGTCAGGGGTGAGGGAACAAACGCTTTCATTTCTGCTTCTGAACTAAACATACTCAGTTAATAACGCAACCTCAGTTCACTGAGATATGGGAACGAGTACTACGTCGCTAAGATGCAATGGGAAAAAGTCACATTCAGTATTTTCCGATACTGAAGCCTTTTCAATAACGCAGTGTAACTGCACGGTCATTGGTTTGTGCAGTGAATAAAAACGGAACCAATGGCGAGTTAGCTGAGCTGCTCGAGCCTATGGCCACGAAGCCTGCCAATATGGGCTGGCTATATACAGTATCTGGCTATATCAAGTTACTTTGTCTGAAGCGATGATACTGAGTCATGCAGCTACATAGCACGGCTAGCAACGCAGTACTCATTCCCGTATCGTACGTTCCCTATCGATACTTCACTTGTACTGCGTCGGTATGGGGAACCAGTACAATCACGCCGTGCTATGGTAGAGGAGAGGAACGACTGATATGTGAACTTGCCTTAAGCATCCAAGGGGCCCAGAGGGACAATAATAATAGGGTAAGCCCTTCATGTGGCAACCTCACAGAGGTCATGCCCAGCCTGGACAATCGTTCCTAGAAAAAGTAATGCAGCCTCGGCACTTAGGGAGGGCCGAGAGCGTACAAGAAGTAAAGCAATCCTGGTGAGTTTGAGCGTGTTACGGCCAAACCCTGCTCAGAGCTAGTCCCGCCTTCTGGCAGGTGCGTGTCGACTATGCAGAAAGGACCCTAGCCTGTAAGGAAGGGATGTCTAGGTTGTAAAACCTAGCAAATGTGGAGGGCGAGGCCACGGAGGACAGAGATTCTCTCAAAGGCGAATATCAAGAATCGTCTGTGATGGGGGGGCTATTTGGATATGAAAGTAGGCATCTTTCATGTCCAGAGAAAATAACCAGTCCCCTGGGCATACTTGCAAGAGGATCTGTTTCAATATAGTCATCCTGAATGGTAGTTTCATGAGGGTGCAGTTCAGGTGCCTGAGATCGAGGATGGGCCATAAGCCGCCATCCTTTTTGGGGACGAGGAAGTAACGGCTGTAAAAGCCTGACTCGCTCTGTGCTGGAGGAACCGTCTCCACAGCTCCTTTTGCATCACCTCATTGCTCTGTTCCGAGGTGGGAACCACACCGCTGAATCGCGGGGGTCTTTTGAGCGAATTGAAGTGAGTAACCTTGTTTTATTATCCCCAAAACCCAGTCTGACACTCCGGGGATGGCCTGCCAGGCCTCGGCCCGCGTGCCAAGGGGTTGGATTGATTCAAGTAGTAAGTCACCACGAGGGGACAAGACACTCGTGATAAGCGGAAGAGGAAATTTGCTCTCTTTTTGAGTATGTTTGTGTTTTATTTTGCCCGCTATCACATCAGATAGGTGTGTGGGCGCTTGAACGGGCTTCTTGTGGGTGGTCTGGCTGCAGCGAGACTTAGCCCCCTCCTCTTCCTGTCCCGCAGAACTGAATGACGCCGGAGGCGCCAGGTCCAGCACTATCTTGGGCCGGGGTCCCTAGCGTTTACGAAATGGATAGATTGGGGAGCACTGTCGAGGCTCAGTCTTGGGAGCTGGCTGGGCCACAGGAGGCGCAGGCTTCATGGGCTGCTGAGTCGGCGCAGACTTGGGGCAGCTGGAGCGCTTTGGCAAGAAGTGTTGCATCGCTTGGGACGACTTCTGTGCAGCAGAGAAGCCTTGCTGTGTGAAAAGAGTGAGGCACGAGGGGCCTGAGCCGGGGTGAGATCAGAGGTCCTCTGCCCCGCTGTTTTTTCCTCACAGGCACCTGGGAGCGAGTGCTGAGAGGAGAGACTCATGTTCCCACAGTGTGAACACTCAGTCTCTATGAGCGCGGATTCTGCATGGGATTTACCTAGGCATGAAACACACTCATCGTGACCGTCAGCGGAAGAGCGACAGTAACGGCGTGGCATTTGCAACAACGCAGAGAAATTTGATCTTTTATATCTCGCCGGATGGCGGCAGGGGATCGCTGAGACCGCGGCTGCTGCAGACGCTGAATCGGCTAGCAGGAGCGCCGAAGTCAGCCGAGCAGAGAGTTCTTGATCCACTGCGAGGCTTGTCAACGGTGAAGGCTTCGAGTCTCGTAGAGCGAAGATCGTGGTTGTCGCTGAAGGAGAAGAAATCTGAGGATCCTGTGCCAGAATGCCCGCTTATATAGCCAGATGGCCCCGCCCATATTGGCAGGCTCTGACGGGCTTCGTGACCATAGGCTCGTGCAGCTCTGCTGTCTCGCCATTGGTTCGTTTTTTATTCACTGCACAAACCAATGGCCATGCAGTTACACTGCATTATTGAAAAGGCTTCAGTATCGGAGAAAAAATATTTTTTTCCCATAGCGTCTTAGTGACGTAGTACGAGTGAAGTATCGATAGGGAACACGTTTTATAAATGTAGAAACAAGATCTTATAAATGAAGAAACAAGTTGAATGTTGAATCTGTGTTGGTTACAGATCCCCGAATTCTCTTCGTCTCACCCAGTACGTCTCTGCGTTATGTGCGGAAAGAAGGTGAAGATCTGACACTTCCGTGTCTTCTGACCGACCCCAACGCCACAGACTTCACCTTCCGCATGGATAACGGCTCAGCGGTGCCCTACGGCATGAACGTGACCTTTGACCCCAGAAAGGGCGTCCTGATTCACAATGTTCATCCTGGATTTAACGCCGACTACATTTGCGGTGCTAGAATTAAAGGGGTTGAGAAAGTGTCGAAGATATTCTCAATAAACATCATTCAACGTGAGTTTCATTGAAACCCTTATGTGCTTTCATATAATCAAAGGACAAAAGTTCCAGACTGAAGCATTTTGGAATTTTGTGATTTCACTGTTTCAAAGACAAACATTTTCGAATTTTATACAGTTGAATTCACAAAATTCCAAAATGTTTCAATTTATTATTATTGCTGAATGAATAATGTACAAAAGGGTTTGCCAAACTGGAGTTGATGAATGCTAATAATCAACAAAATCATCAATAATCAATAAAATTAATAATAAATTTTTTTTAAATCAACCTAAATAAAGACATCAGAGAATTGTGTAAACTATGTGTTTAATAATTGAAATATTAATTTAAAATCTCTTAATACTATTAAATCTGACCTATATAGTTAAATATATAGATATATAAATATTAATTATAAGTATATTAATTATATATTTATATATTAAATATACAATTAACATTACATTTAATAATATTATTAAATATACAAGTAAATATTTTAGATCAAATGGATTTGGCCGACAAAAAGTTTGGGAATCCCTGATGTACAAGATTCACAGCATCAAAACTGTAACAAGATTTTAAAGTTAATAAAAGCTACTCATTTATTAACTCAATAAATAATTGTCTAATCAAATGACAAACCGTTCAAATTTTAAGAACAAGAATAAATTGAAACATTTACAAATTTAAAAAGGTTTTCAATTTACACTGAAATAAATTATGTACAACAGGGTTTCCCAAAAAAAGAGTTGATGAAAAACTAATAATTAATTAAATTGTAAAATAAGTAAATAAATAGTTTGAAAATAAAAACAACTAAAAATGAAACACTTACTTAAAAAAAATGAAATATTTTTATTTGTTTACCTGCCTGCCATCAGCCAACATCAAAGAATAAATATTATACAAAATATATTACAAAATATACAAAAAAATATTAACTTAAAATTTCATGGGACTTGAAATGTATTCATTATATATAACAATATTTAATTAATATTATCATTAAATGTACCATTATATACCATAATAAAAGCTACTCATTTAATAACTCCTTTATCCTTTTTTTATTCAGGATTACGTTTTCCACCGTACGTGTTTCTGAAGAGAAGCGAGTATGTAAAACTGGTGGGAGAGAAATTTCAGATCAGCTGCACCACAAACAACCCCAACTTTTACTATAATGTCACATGGACGCACTCCTCTAGAAAGGTACGACCTCTGACCTCTGGGCTCAGTATCACATCTGATTCTGGATAAAGTATTTAAAAAATTATAAATATAAGGACTCCAACAATAGACTCAAAAGTCAATGGTATCTTATTTAATTGGCCTTTAAACTAAATTTTTGGGAAACAGTTTCTTCAGGTGTGAAATTATAATAATAATAATAAAAGAAAACATTATAAATATACAATTTAGTATACAATATACAATATAAAATTCAGGATCACTATGATTTTCTCTTTGTATACTTTTATTCAGCAAGGATACATTAAATTGCTCAAAAGTGGCAGCAAATCAGAATATTAGTATGATTTCTGAAGGATCATGTGACACTGAAGACTAGGGCTGTCAAAAAAAATTTGAATTTCGAATATTCGTCGAATTAAAAAAAAAGAAAATCCACATTAGAATGCAAAAACTTTGCATTCGAATTTTAGGTCTGCGTCAGCCGTCAGGCAGCCTTATCAGTGGCGAACGAAATGCGATGACAATGTAAGTGTCATTGCATTTTAATGCTTTTGTTAGCCTATTCAGTTGAACCCATTAGATGCGGCGCTGCTATGTTGTTCATTCAATATATTGCAGAAAACAAGAACATCAATGCGGAGATGATGTTATTTACATCAAAACTGAAACCAAGCCGTTCACACAGAACGCATATTTATCACATTTTCTAGAGGGAGATCTATCAGCGTTGCACTCGCGTCTCACACAAGAGAGCGCATGTTTAGAAAGCTATGTAAAATTAATGTAAGTTCAACTTTTAGAAAACATGTCTCAAGACTTTATGGCGGTTTTTCCCCATCCCACTGTATCTCATGTTTTTAAATGAAGAAAGTAGCCTACTTTTGTGATTGGTTTTCGGTCCTTTGTATTAAACTATACATACATGCATGGTGCTGTTTTTTTCTCTAATTGTTTAAGCAACTTTATTAATTATATAGGTTAATATATTAATATAAACATTATAAGATAGACAGATAGTCGTGTTATTTTATTACGCTTTGAAGAAACGTGCATAATATTTTGCTCGATGCGCCCTCTTGTGGCCTCAGGAGAGATGCCAAAAGCTTTTTTTCCCCCAACTGAAATTATGCGAATTATTATATAATTCGAATTTTGATAATATTTAAGTGGAAAATTAATATTAATTTATAATTTAGTTTTTCAGTCATTTTGACAGCCCTACTGAAGACTGGAGTAATGATCAGATCAAAGCTTTGATCAGAGGAATAAATTACATTTTATAATATATCCACAAAGAAAACACTTACTTTAAATAGTAATAACATTTCACAATATTACTATTTTTACTGTATTTTTCATCAAATAAATGCAGCCTTGTTGAGCAGAAGAGACTTGTTTTTCTCCGTTCATTCTGTAAGGATGGTTTCCCTACGGTGGTTCAGGCTGTAGGATTGCCGAATGACTAAAGAAACGTTATCAGCACGATGGTATAAAACTGTACATTTCTAGTCTATTACCACCCACTGCCACTTATACCAACGACGGAAATAAGCGCAGTTAGAATAGCTACATATGTGGGAGAGCGTTGCTATTGTGTGACTATTGTATTGCAATAGGTAGCACTTTAAGATTAACCTTGAATCAAGACTAGTTAGCACATAATTAATAATTGAAATGGTTTAATAACAATGTTTTGTTATGGTTACACTTGAATTGGTTACAAAATAGATGAAGGATGGTAAAGCATAGTTAATTGTACCCAACGTGTAAAATATTACCTGAGAGAAAGAGATAGAGAGAGGGGGGAATAGAGAGAGGAAGAAAAAGAGGGAGAGAGGGCAGAGACCCAAGAAGAACAAAGAAAAGAGGCAACAAAGAAAAGAGACAGAGCAACAGTTACAGTCCTCTTTTATCCCTTCCTTGACCATGTGACTAAAAACCAAATGTGAGACATTCAAACTGACCAATCAGCAGATTACAACTTCACCCACTGGGCAAAAGGTGTGACAATTAGCAGACCCCTGATGTATACACATGTTGTATACATGTGTGCTTGATCGATATCAGCACTTCTGTGCCTTCAGGAATGCCAAATGGCCCTTTTGTTACTGAAGATAGGTTTGGGACAGGAAAGCAGAAGTCTTTGATACATTTTGACTTTACAATTCCCAGCTGCCCCGAGCAGAAGAGAAATCGATGATGGAAGGGGATCGGTTGGCCATCGAGAGCCTCCTGATCATACCAGCTGTTCAGTTGTCTGATTCGGGGAACATCACCTGTACGGGTCAGAACGAGGCCGGAGCCAACAGCTCCACCACACACCTGCTGGTCGTGGGTGAGAAACGGAGAGCAATTACGCTGTTAATTGATGATGTTAAATAAATGAATAAATAAATACATTTATATTTAGAATGCACATGCATATATTTAGATAAATAAAATATTTATTTATTTAAATATATATATATACTTTGATTTGTGACAGAGGAGCCATACGTTCGACTCTTCCCGAAGATCTCTTCTGAACTCACTCACCACGGCCTGTCCATCGAGGTGAACGAAGGCGACGATGTGGATCTCAGGGTTTTGATCGAAGCATATCCACCGCTGATCTCACACCAGTGGGAGACTCCAACATCCCACAATGCCTCACTCCCAGAGAACAGGTTTTACAGCTATAATGACAGGTCAGTCTAAAACACACATTTAGGCCAGCATTACATTTAGTCGATCAGTCTTAAATAATGCAGTTATTACCCATGGCAAGCAAGATGAACATAACATTTGTAGACGTGCCTGATTGACATATCCGTAAGCCGAATGTGATTGTTTTTGTATTTTTTTACGGGATATGTTGAGGTCACTGTGAGGGTTTGTGGAACTGTAGGTACGAGGCGCTGCTGTTCCTCAAGAGACTAAACTTCCAGGAAACCGGCCGCTACACACTCCATGTCAAGAGCAGCATCAAAAATGCCTCCATTACTTTTGATATTAAAATGTATAGTAAGTACAGTTGCAAATCATTCCAAAAATTTTATATTTTTAATTGCATTTATTTTTACATTTATTTAGTACATTTTTATAAATATTTTTGTATTTATTTCTATATTTATTATATTTATTTAATTTTATATTTTTTATATATTTGTATATTTATTTTTAATTGTAATAAATATTAAATTTATTTATATTTATTTATAATTTTAATTCATGTTCCAAATTAAATACCAAGTTAAGCTTCACCAGCAGCACTTATAATCAGACACTACAATTGTAAAAAGCAGAAGTTAAATGAACCAAAACAGTTATTTTAAGATTTTTAACAGTAACATATTATTTTATTAACATTAAAACAATACCCAATTTTAACATTAATACAAAAATTGTATCTATTAATATTATTTAATGAACCTGTGATAACATGAACTAACAATCAACAGCTGCATTTTGAAATGGAAAAATATTTCATATTTTTAATTGAATGTATTTTAACATGTATTCAGTATGTTTTTTTATTTTTATATTTATATTTATTTATTTTATATTTATTTAATTTTTTATATTCCAGATGAATGTTTAAAAAAAGGTTAAATTAATCTTAACATTCAAATCAAAAATTGTATCGGTTAATATTATTCAATGAACCTGAGATAAATCTATTTAATCACTGTATCGCTCATTGTTAATGTTAAGGCAATAACTAAGACCTTTTTGTGAAGTTTTACCAATCACTAATAAAAAATGTGCTCTAAATTGATCTAAATCATCTTGTTCTTGTGTCCATACATTTAAATCACAGTAAACATGGAAAATGGTACATGTTCATAACAGGAGTCCATATATTTTATATAACTTTGCACAGACAAGGTTAACACACAGGGTTTGCGTCTGTATTTTCAGTTGGGCCTGTTTCCATTGGAAGTTCATTAGAGCTTGAGGAACGAACACATTTTGAGGAAATCAGTGCTGCTGATAGAGCTGAACTTTCTGAACCCAGAACTTGTAGACCAGAACAACATTTACTTCTGCAACACTAAAGCTGATTTTGTTTCACAGCAAAACCCGTAGCGACGGTGAGATGGGAGAACGTCACAACTCTGTCATGCAGGTCTTATGGATATCCAGCTCCCAGCATCCTCTGGTATCAGTGCACAGGAATCAGAACCACGTACGTCATTATTAGACATCTGACACTGACAGCCTGCTATGAGCTCAAAGCCAAAATGAGATCAAAATCAAAACCATTTTACTTTCGTAATGCACATTTTTGCTTTTATTGTGAATTATTCATCAGTGCACATTATTCCAGCCAGAATATAGAAACACTTTTCACCATCCAGTCAGTTCCTCGGGTCATTCCCTACATCTTTTTCAATCAGAAACTCAGAAAAGCAATCAATTTCACTTCTGTAATCGAATGCAACTTTTTTTTCCTCTTTAGAGAACCTTCAACTTTTTTCACCCTATTTTAAATAATGAATCATTCAGACTCATTATTATTGGGAAGGTTAGATATTTTAACCTGACAAAAGTTTTTAATGGACTGATCTCACTCCATAGACACAGACGCCGTGCAACATTTAACAAATAACCAGGAAAATGGAGTGAAATGACACAAAACAAGACATTAAAACAACAAATTTAACATCACAGGCAACTCAAACAGCAGCTAATGTTGTCTCATTTGATGATGCGTAATAAAAACTCTATATTTATCAGCTTTAATGCACTTAAAAATAGCTAAAGCAGTCGAAATCAAAAATGTTCAAATACACCATTTAATGCACTTTACACTTTGCAAAATCAGCTTTTTTCCCGCAAAATCGGTCCTGGGGCTGTTTGGATGCAGTAAAACACCCACAAGTGCAGCAGAAAACGTCTGACTCATTTACATTTTCTTCTGTCAGGATTAGGCATAAAATAATGTCATACATGTGGAAATGGGGTGAGAATTGAACGTGTAGTTGTAATCCGGCTCAGAGGATACAGGAATTACAGTACGTGTTTGTGGTGTTTTTCCACTGATTAAGGGAGAATACAAGACTTCTTCACTTTAGAAATGCTACAAAATGCACATATTTAGTGAGAAAGTGTGACGTGCTCCAGCAAAACAAGACACTTTATTTGGAATCAGCATCTCAAAATTAGTCAGAAACAAGTATTGGATTTAATTGGCAGATAAGATGCAGACCAGTGTAATTAGTTCAGATTCTAGATCATCTGAAAGACTTTGATTATTGCTGTATAATGTGCTCATCAGCTGTCCAGAAAACTCCACGGGACTTCAGCCCATCCAGACGCAGACGCTGGCGTTACAGAAGGAGCCGTACGGGTCGGTGGGTGTGGAGAGCGTGCTGAGCGTGGGACCGTCCAACCAGAGGATGACCGTGGTGTGTGTGGCCTTCAATCTGGTCGGACAAGGCAGCGACACCTTGGCCATGGACGTCTCTGGTAAACAAATGCTTCAGACTTTAAAAAAACATATGAGCTCATCTCCCTGGTTTATTGATCATGCAAGTGTGTTTTGTCTCAGATCAGCTCTTCACAAGCACTATGTGTGGATCAATGGTCGCCATGGTGGTTCTAGCGCTGCTGCTCATCTTCATGATCTACAAGTACAGACAGGTGAGTTCATCTCAGCTGCTTCTAACTTCAGCCAAACTTCATTTAAAATGAATCCACAGCTCTTGTTTTTCACGCTAGCTACACATCAAAATTCAGTTTCATCTTTAAATCATGTTGCTGTGTTTTTTTCTTCTTTATTAGTTTTTTGTTTGTGAAGGATTCATCAAGCAGGTTACACTTTTAAAAATAAAGGTTCTTTATTGGTATAGATGGTTCTACGAAGAACCATTAACATCCACTGAATCGTTCCATTGATGGAAAAAAGGTTCTTTCGATTTTGAAATGTTCTTTATGATAAGAAAAATGGTTCTTTTAGGAACTGCTAACTGAAAGGTTCTTTGAGAAACCAAAAATGGTTCTACACTCTTACAAATAAAGGTTATTCGTTGGCATTGATGGTTCCATGAAGAACCTGTAGCATTAATGGCATAAAGTTTCCATTCCACAAAAAATTCTTTGAGAAACCAAAAATAGTTCTCAAATGCAAAAACACCCTTTTGGAAACTTTATTTTTAAGAGCGTATAAATCTCAGTTCCTCATTCCTACTCAATTCATTTGGCATGAAATTGAGGTCTGCCTTTTATTTTAATTCTTATTTCTCTGTAAATTATTTTTGGAAAAAATGTGTCATTAGTTTTTTTCCCCCTCTCTTTTTCTTTTCCAAAATATGTTTTTTTTTCTTCCCCAACAGCCAAGCTGTTGTTATATGCTGCAAAGGCTGCGTTTACACTTGGCATTAACATGCGATCACCGTGATCTGATCAAGCAGATCGGATCATCAGTCAATCAGGACATGGCGCGTTTACACTTGGCAACATCAGCTGACTTCTCGATCTGGATAACTGATCAGATTTGTATTTCCCGTGCAATATTTAAATAAGTCTGCGGTGCAAAGTCGACCTGAAGTGGTGGGTTTTCTTTTGAAAACTATTTTCAGTCGCGGGACATTTTACAAATCAAAATAAATGTACGAGTCTCACTAGCACTCTGTTCTTCCGACAGATTGGAAGAGAGGGGGCGGCGTTTTGTGTGATGTCGACCTGCAAATGCAGACACGATGGCTGGATTGCGTTTACATTACACTGAGATCCGATCACAATGCGTCCTCGACTACCTCTGGAGTCTGGACCAGGAAACGCTGATCGGAGAACATTCCGATCAGAAATGCGTTTACACTTGTCTTTTCAATTTGTAGGTGGACAACATCCGGATACAGGTCGCATGTTAAAGGGGTCATATGATGCGATTTCAATTTTTCCTTTCTCTTTGGAGTGTTACAAGCTCTTGGTGCATAAAGAAGATCTGTAAAGTTGCAAAGACTAAAGTCTCAAATCCAAAGAGATATTCTTTATAAAAGTTAAGAGTCAGCCACACCTACCTAAAACGGCTCGTTCTAACACCTATTTTCAGTCGCGGGACATTTTACAAATCAAAATAAATGTACGAGTCTCACTAGCACTCTGTTCTTCCGACAGATTGGAAGAGAGGGGGCGGCGTTTTGTGTGATGTCGACCTGCAAATGCAGACACGATGGCTGGATTGCGTTTACATTACACTGAGATCCGATCACAATGTGTCCTCGACTACCTCTGGAGTCTGGACCAGGAAACGCTGATCGGAGAACATTCCGATCAGAAACGCGTTTACACTTGTCTTTTCAATTTGTAGGTGGACAACATCCGGATACAGGTCGCATGTTAAAGGGGTCATATGATGCGAATTCAATTTTTCCTTTCTCTTTGGAGTGTTACAAGCTCTTGGTGCATAAAGAAGATCTGTAAAGTTGCAAAGACTAAAGTCTCAAATCCAAAGAGATATTCTTTATAAAAGTTAAGAGTCAACCACGCCTACCTAAAACGGCTCGTTCTAACACGCCCCCACATGTCTACCTCACTATGTGGGAAGATTTGCATAACGCTGCCCAAATGTTCATGCAAAGAAAGAAGGCGTAACTTTTATTCTCGCTGTAGTATTGTTGCTGCCACCATGTCGTGAAGATGCTGTGTTTCATTGTGAAAGTGAAACTATTTTGTTTGGCCTTCCAAAAGAAGACGATATCCACTTCTTCATGCTTGGAGCTGATCCGTGCTGGTCGCTGAGGAAATACATCAACTTAGTGCTGTGGATCGCCGGATCGGCTTTCACCGCGGACGAAGCATAGTCCAGCCTAGGGTCGTCACATGTGGTTGCCGCAAGCCCACTGGATGCTCTTTCGCCGAATCCGCCGTCCGCGCCGTTCTCAAGCCCGCCGGCCTCCATTCAATCTAGCCCGCCGTGTATGACGCTGTGTGACGCATTTTATGGAAGACTGTTTCCTGAACCTGCAGAGTAGCATACAGTGGGTCTGCCGTCCGCGCCGTTCTCAAGCCCGCCGGCCTCCATTCAATCTAGCCCGCCGTGTGTGACGCTGTGTGACGCATTTTATGGAAGACTGTTTCCTGAACCTGCAGAGTAGCATACAGTGGGTCTGTGCTCAAAGGCTGTTCTATAAAGTGGGGCAGTTCCAACTTTGCAAGGACAGTCTGGCGCTTCTAAGTAAATTTTTTATATTTAAAGAATTTGCCACTGATGATTCAAACGCGAGTAGCGCTTGTTTGTCGTTTCTCCGATCACAAATGCAGACATGGTTTTGTTTATGTGGTGCGATACACAATGCGTAAAAACACAGTATAAGTCATTATAATCAGTAATTATGTCCCCACTGGATGCAACAAATGCCTCATTTGTAATGGGTTTTATTGCTTTTGTCTCGCCGTGCCGGGACACGGCATCTGAGTGTGTTGGGGCATAACATTTCCGTCACAAGCTTGAGGTATTCAGCCAATCACAACGCACACCTCGCTTTTCAGAACGATGTGTTTTGTAAAAATCGACACGTTTTAGAAAGGCGGGGCAAAGAGGAGAAACATAAATGTACAGTATGTGGAAAATAATGTGTTTTTTTAACCTTAAACCGCATAAACACATTTCATTACACCAAATACACAAAATAATGTTCTTTTTAACAACATCATATGACCCCTTTAATGCCAAGTGTAAACGCAGCCAAAGAGGCAGAGAGAGTATTTATGTGTTGTGGTTCATTGAGATTCCTCCTCTACCAATGAGAACACACAAGCACTAATTAAGCACTAATTGAGAATTCATTGATCACAGCTGTAGAGGAGCTTTGAAAACTCCTGCGGTCCATCATTTGTCTGAATCTGAGAGGACCAGATCACAGCAGTCTGACTGAAAACCTTTATATATATATATATACATATACATATACATATACATTTTCAATTTCTTGTTTGTTTGTTTTTTACTTTATTTTTTTTTACATTTTTTTGTTTTACTCTGAATTAATTTTCTCAAAATGTGCATTTAGGTCAAAATAAAATAAAATGTCAATGGCTGTCAAGCCTTAAAAGGACCTAAAAAAGTATATTAAGTCTGAATCTGAGTCACTGAGTCTGACACCTTGACACAGTCTGACACAATCTGACACATTGTGCCTATGGCTGTCAAGCTTTAAAAATGACCAAATATAATAGCAGTAGTTCATATGACTCATGCACTATATATATATATATATATGTGTGTGTGTGTGTGTGTGTGTGTGTATGTATTCCAAGTCTTCTGAAGATAAATGATCATGATAAATGAGGAGCAGACTGAAATTAAACAGTTTTTCACAGAAATTTGAGAGATCACTGCTCTCAAATTTCATGTTACAGAGATTCTCAAGTCAAAAATTCCAGTCAAATCTCTGTACACATTTTCAAAACAGCTTTTTAGAAAACAGCTTTTGTCTTTTTAATATTCACAGAATTTTCATTTTTGAGTGAGGAGTCCTTTGTGGGAAAAATATAGTTTACTTGGTTTTGTAGTGTGTGTATTCAGCTCTTTGCAAAAGAAAATAAAAAGTAACAGTTGCTGTCTATATATATATACAGTGCCAACCATTAATATTGGCACCCTTGGTAAATATGAGCAAAGGTGGCTGTGAAAATAAATCTTTCATTCAAAAAATTCACACAATTCTAACCTATCATTGAAGTAAAACAATGGAAATTGGGGGGAAACTCACATTAATAAATAAATGTTTTTCTCCAATGCATGTTGGCCACAATTATTGGCACCCCTAGAAATTCTTATGAGTAAAATATCTCTGAAGTATATTCCCATTCATATTTACAATTTGTTTTAGCACACCAGGGTGACTTGGAGCATGACATTCTCCAGCCATGACTTCCTGTTCCACAGGATTAAAAATAGAAGGACACAAAGGCCAAATTCCCTTAATCATCCAAAGAGTAAAACCAAAGAATATAGTTCTGGGCCTGTATTCACAAAACATTTTATCTTACCACTAATTCAATTTAATTCAATTCAAGTTTATTTGTACAGCGCTTTTCACAATACAAATAATTGCAAAGCAACTTTACAGCAAATTAAGTTTCTACAATATTTAGTGGTAGCTTATCAGTGGTGACTGTCAGTTAATGTACATATGGCAGAAATGTACGGAAAAATCAATAATCAAACAGACGATGAACACTATTAACAGCAATTATTATAAGATGCAATCAAACTTATAGCAAAATGTGGTAGTTCTGTATGTTGTTTCAGGGTTGGCATCATCTGAGGTCCTCTGAGGGGTTGCATCATCTCTACACCCGTCTAGTTGCAAATTGTAATCCAAGAGATTCTGTGTACTGTCTTTTGGCCAATAAGTAATATGACTAAGAGTTCTCCTGAATAGCAGTAAAAGTTTTTAGCTAAGAGTTTTCTCTTAAAACCAATTCACAAAGCTGCTGAGACAAACTTTTACTAAGGAATAGAGAGAAGTCTTAAGCTAAGAGAAAGGGTGGGGTTGACCTCGTTGCTATGGATGATGTCAGCATGCCTGCTAACTATGCACACAGTGATTGGCTGATAGTCTCTGTAAGAGATTTATACATAGAAATATTGTACAGCACAATTTTATGCTGCCATATTCAAATAAAGGTTTAAAAAAAAAAAAAAGTGATTTGCCACATTCAAATAAATATTTTAAAATGCAGGCTAAGAGTCACTAATTAAACAAGGATATGTTCAGCTAATTGTCAACCTCTTACATGTAGGCTTCTTGTAAACAATTAGTGAATATGCATATAAACAGCATTTTAATTAACAGTGTGGAATAATCATGGCTGATAGATAAAAGAAAACCAAACTACATGCAAGAAGAGCTGTTACTTCTTGCCCAACTGGTTAATGAAAGCAAGGATATAGGGTAATCAAAGGAAAATTGTCTACAACAGACATAATACCCCCGCAATTAAAGCGATATACCTTTTTAAAAGCTCATTATCGTCAAATGTTTACATTCCAAGGCAGATTGCCTGCAACAGCCATTTTAGTATAGTTGTGGTTCGGTCTTAGGGACTTAGGAGTCCTCTTCACTATTCCTAACGTTTCACAGATTTAGGAGCTCGTTTTAGTGCTAAAATGCTTTGTGAAATACTCTTAGAGCAAAAATTTTGGACTGACACGCCCATTATTAAGATTTTCTCCTAAATCAGCAAGTTATGAGCTACTTTTAGCCTTAAGATGTTTTGTAAATACGGGCCCTGATGTGCAGAACAAGATTGTTGAGGTTCCCAAAATAGAAAATGGCTGTAAGAAAATAGCTAAAGCATTTAAAATCCCCATTTCCACCATCAGGGCAATAATTAAGAGGTTCCAATCAACTAAAGATGTTACAAATCTGCCTGGAAGAAGACGTGCGTCTATATCGTCCTAATGCACAGTGAGGAGGAGAGTTTGAGTGGCCAAAGGCTCTGTGAGGATCACAGCTGGAGAATTACAGAGATTAGTTGAGTCAGAAAGCCTAAAAAGCCCCTACATCACCACATGTTGTTCGGAAAGGTTTCAAGAAAGATCCTCTTCACTCATCCAAACACAAACTTCAGCATATTCAGTCGAGGATCACAGCTGGAGAATTACAGAGATTAGTTGAGTCGGAAAGCCTAAAAAGCCCCTACATCACATGTTGTTCGGAAAGGTTTCAAGAAAGATCCTCTTCACTCATCCAAACACAAACTTCAGCATATTCAGTTGTCAGACACGACTGGAATTGGACTGGCTTCTATGGTTAGATGAAACTAAAAAATGAGCTTTTTGGAAACAGGAATAAAAAGTACCCCATGCCCACAATTAAATATACTGCAGGATCTTTAATGTTGTCGGCCTGTTTTTCTGCCGGAGATCCTGGACATCTTGTTCAGATATTGGCATCATGGATCCTATCAATTACCAACAGATAAAAAATCGAAACCTGACTGCCTCTGTTAGAAATCTTATAATAGGCCGTGGTTGGATCTTCCATCAGAACAATGATCCAAAACAAACATCGAAATCAACACAAAAATGTGTCACTGAGCACAAAATGAAGCTTCTACCATGGAACATCCCAGTTCAGGACCTGAACCCTGCAGAAAAGGAGTGTGGTGAACTGAAGAGAAGAAGCACCAACATGGAGCTGGGAATCTGAAGGGTCTGGAGAGATTCTGGATGAAGGAATGTTTTCTGATCTCTTGTCAGGTGTTCTCCAAACATCAGGCATGGGAGAAAACTCAGAGCTCTTATCTTGGGAAAAGGACGTTGCAATAATTGGGTGCGAATAATTGTGGCTAATGTGAACTAGAGAAAAACAGTTATTTCATAATGACATTTCCCCCCTATTTTCCATTGTTTTACTTCAATGATAGATTAGAATTTTGTGAATTTTTTGAATGAAAGATCGACACACATGTCCCTAAACTCATGAATGATTCATCACATTAAATTTTGAATATTTCAAACCTGTTGATTTCACACACAGGGAATTACTCCTCAGTATTGTGTTGATATGTGCATTAGGCCTTTAAACAGCAGACTGAACTCTAGTTTGCGTCTTTTGGTAGAAACCCAGATATGAGATCCGCTGGAAAATCATTGAAGCCACAAATGGAAACTACTACACCTTCATAGACCCAACACAACTGCCATACAATGAGAAATGGGAGTTTCCTCGAGACAAACTAAAACTCGGTTTGTACTGCATCACTGATGCTTCACACGCTCACATATGACAGATTTCTGAGTCATGAACATCATGAGGTTTCGTTTGACACCATCAACCTGAACTAACTTTGCTAGGTCATAAAAGTTCAATAATCTGGTATTTTTCAGACAGTCATGAGGATCTGCAGGGCAGGGATGGGCAGATCAATATTGAAATATTGATACAATAATGCTGATTTTGTATCCAAGTATTGATACTCAAATAAAAAACAACATATAAGGTGATTTTACAAGTGATTGTTTAATTTAGCAAGAAAATGCTACAAATGCTGCAAGACATAACCAATCAATCAGAGAGCGCTGGCTAATGACACTTAATTCAAACAGCGCTGCGTTTCCAAAAAGCATCATAAAAACCCGTTACCGTCTTTGCGATCATCTTAGGCTCCTAATGATTTTGGGAAACACAGCTCAGAACAATGCTTATCAGGGGACAGAAGAACATAATATGGATCCATTAGATAGTTATTTCACAAATAACATATTGAAATTGTACATAGTGTGTGCTATTAAATTTTATTTAAATTGCATGCTAAAATTCCAAATTGATCATGTCCATAATTGTTGTTAATATAAATCATACACTGTCAGAAAAATGTGCAAAGATTGTACTTTATGGTGCAGCAGCCTGTCACTGCAGTCCCGTATGAGAATGACCCATGGATTTATTACAGTGACAGTAATTCAACTATAGTATTAGCAGTAAAAACCGCAGTACAGTAACCACTAAAACTCTAAATTCAAATTTTTAGCAATTAAGGCCTATTGAATGATAAAATGCCTTTCAAATATAATGTCAAATGGGTATTTTGCACTTAGAAATTATTTAAAAGTTCGGTTTAGAGGTATTGGTATCAATATTGATTATACTGGCCCTTTTTAAAAAGTATTATTGTATTGAATCGCCCATCCCTACTCCAGAGGGCCCCCTCTGTCATGTCTTTTTTTTTTTTTAAAGTAATTTCCTGTTGTTTAACTTTATTTTGATATTTTTTTATTAATATTATTATTACTATTTACGATTTATTATGATTTAATCCTATCAGTTGCACTTTAATGACTTTGTTTTGAGATTGATTGATTGATTTATATAATAAAGAAACTGCATTTTACCTTTTAAAAAACAATAATAATAATACAAGATTATGCACTTCTAAACAAATTTCTGATTTGTTTTACTTCTTTATGATCTCAGAAAAGAACTCCATTTGGGCATTTTTGACTTTAAGCCACACAAAAACATCACTATGAATTTTAATTCTAAAATACAAAGCGAGTTCATCTTAGAAGAAGTCTGTGCATTTGGAACACAGTCACTGATGGAGTGATTCTGGTGTGTAGGAAAGACTCTGGGAGCAGGAGCCTTTGGGAAGGTGGTGGAGGCCACGGCGTACGGCCTGGGCGAAGAGGACAATGTCACACGTGTAGCTGTCAAAATGCTGAAAGGTCAGAAAACATGACAATTACAAAGAGTACTATAGTATTACCATTACCTTTTTTTAAGATATGTAATATGGTAATATTATGGTTATATATTAACACCATGTAAATTTCACATTATTCACAAGTATTTTATGTACATTCCAGCTAACAAAATATGAAGAGTTTGGTTCCAAAGCGCTATAAATCCATTTAGATTCATTTGAGTAAAAATGTGTTTTATTTACCAAGAAATTGGTGAGATGAAAACCACTATTTTCTGTTTTCACATAGCATCTTTAGGTTATAATAACATAAAAAATTCAAATCCAGATTTTGATTTTCAAAGATTTATTATAAAATTTGATTGTTTTTCCCAAAATGCAATAAATCCATTGAATCAATATAAAAGTTATTTTTCATATTGAAACTGTTGAAAATACACAACATAGTAAGTTGATCCACATATGGCAGTCTCTGAACTTGGTCAATACTAATCTTATATGCAGGCACTGGACTAAAAATACATTCAATCAGTCATCGCTCCCAAAATGAATTAAACGGGTAATCTTGTTAATGATATAAATTAATTACAACAATAAAAGAGAATTTCATCATGAACATACATGAGCAACAATATCACATTAAACCACAGAAATTCCAAAATTACATTTTCCTTACATTCAACTTCCAAAAGTGCATTCATCTTTGCCATGTTACATTCATTTAGTTGACTAGTGTTATACGCTGTATTAACAAAAACATTAATGGCATAAATAAATAACAAGCTACTCAATATCGTGTTCGTAATCGAATGCGACTCATCTGCGATTATGAACGCGATATAGCAGTGATCTATGGCTCTGTGTATTAAATGCAACTGAAAGCAGGTGATGGAGATTTACTATTAATCACAGAACCGGCTTTACTGACGAGATGCGCATGACAATCACATGCGATTTATCGTGCAGCCCTAAGTTTGTTTGTTGATCACAAAGTACAAAATAGATGAGGAAAACTAGGATGCGAGGTGTATTCAAAGCGCCGCCATTACTGTCTAGAGTGTGTGGAATGGTGTGCTGTGATTGGTTGAGTGGATATATCACATTCTGCAGAAAAGGGAGACTGGCGTTTGTCGCAATTTGGAAAGAAAGGGAGAAAACATGACAGAATAACTCGGCGGATATCGCATTTTGCGTCAAATTAAAAATAGACTTTTCAATACCGACCAGATACAATACTGATTTTGGCGGAAACTACATTTTTTTTTTTAAATGGTGTTTATCACGTTTTGGAACCAAACTCTTCATATGTTCAAAGTACATTTTTCAAACATTCACATTAAGTTATAAAAATGCAGAGCCGATCCTCCCTATACGCAAAATACTCTAGCTGCATAGGGCCCCCGAAACACCAGGGGGCCCCGTTGCTCTCAAAGATGATTTAATTTTAGTTTCGTTTTTGAGTTTGGCCAGCAGTTATGAAAACATGAGTGATCATTTCTTTTAATGTGGTGCGCTGACACACTTTATATGTAAAAGTCAGTCAAATCATGTAATGTGAATGTCGTACAGTCTTATTTGAGACTAAAAAAACGAGTTGAAAGCGTAGCGAGCCGCGGAAGAGACACTGTTTCTCAAGCGCTTTCCGTGAGCGCGATTCGAGACAGAGTGAAACAAGCACAAATCCGCCGACACAGTTTTGCGTAGGGCCCTCAGAAGTCTAGGATCGGTACTGTAAAAACGTTAGTCCTTAATATTTTTTAAACATTCAAAATGTCCACTTTTTAGCTTAAAGTTTCTTCTAGGTTATGTGAATGTTAGCGGAACATTCTATTCTATCTTTTTGAACACATTCTGAGAACATTTGAATGAATGAAAACATTTTGTTACATTTGAATGTTCTCTCAACATTTAAAACACCCATTTTATATATATATATATATATATATATATATACAGTGGTGTGAAAACATTTCCTCCCAATATTACAAGAACATATAGCAAATATTAATCATGTTATAAGAATGTTCCGTAAACATTATTTCAAGAATGTTTTGTCCTGACATTTACACAACCTTTAAAACCTTCCATGTTAGCTGGTACAAATACAGTTTATGTCAAATCAGTTTAAACAGGAAAATAACAGCTTGCAAAATTCATCAGTTATGAGACAAATTTAATTTCAGCTGTAGAGCAGCACTACAGAAGACAGTGTCATTATTCAGATCAGTCCAGTAAATACAGTTAACATCTTCATATAATCGGCATCAGACACTGAAAATGTCACTTTGGACTTTTCATGTTTCTCTGACAAAACTACTTTTCAAAGCCAATAAGTGAGTGTATTGTGTTGTGTTGCATGCTGGGAGCAGCTAGCGCTCATCCAGACGAGCGAGAGGCTCTGATGTCCGAGCTGAAGATCCTCAGTCATCTCGGGCAGCACAAGAACATCGTGAACCTGCTGGGCGCCTGCACACACAGCGGTAAGACTGTCCAGTTGTTTTTTCCATCCCGGCTGGAAAAACCAGCTCAGACTGTTTTAATAGTTGGTTTTTAGAGCACCACTCAACTTGACCACATCAAAACCAGACCTACCAACAAGCTATTCAGTTAGCCAGTTTGTATCATAAGAGCATCAGAAACTGGCCATGACTGGATTCTCCTGCAGGATTTACTCACTTTTGGACATTTTTTCCTGCTTGTTTCCAGGTCCTGTGCTGGTGATCACAGAATACTGTTGTCATGGTGATCTTCTGAATTTCCTGCGTAACAAAGCCGAGAACTTCCTGAACTTCGTCATGATGATTCAGACTCCGATGATGGATTATAAGAACGTCGACACTGAACGAATGTTTTTCAGAAGGTCCGTTCAACAAACATTTGTGACCCTGGACCACAAAACCAGTCATAAGGGTCAATTTTTTCGAAATTGAGATTTATACATCATCTGAGAGCTGAATAAATAAGCTTTTCATTGATGTATGGTTTGTTAGGATAGGACAATATTTGGTCGAGATATAACTATTTGAAAATCTGGAATCTGAGGGTGCAAAAAAAATCCAAATACTGAGAAAATCGTCTTTAAAGTTGTTCAAATGAAGTTCTTAGCAATGCATATTACTAATCAACAATTAAGTTTTAATATATATACAGTAGGAAATTTACAAAATATCTTCATGGAGCATGATCTTTACTTAATATCCTAATGATTTTTGTCAATCAATCATTTTGACCCATACAATGTTTTTTGGCTATTGCTACAAATATACCCCAGCGACTTAAGACTGCTTTTGTGGCCCAGGGTCATTATACATTATACAGTATCTCAAAACATTTCAGCAGATTAAAAGAAAAACTTAATTTTTACATCCCGTAAAGTCTTTGCCAGTTAAAGTTGGGTCACATTCACGGAAATTTGGTGAAAATTTGTGGGCAAAAAATGTCCACTGAATGTCCAAAATGTCCATTTTCCATTGTCAATAGTGTAACAATGTAAAAAACACAAGTCACTTTATCAATGCGATGAATCTGCAAATTCCATGTGACAAACTTAAACCAAAATCTGCGTGGGGAAACCATTCGCCCTCAAGTGAAATTCCTTACCATGTGGATTCATATTAAAATGACTGGATTTTAGCAGCGAAAACTCGCAGAACAGCAGTAAATGTGACCATACCTTTTGAGTTTATACTTAATAATTGAAAATTGACAAAAAAAAGAAAAGTGTTTGATTGTGTTTAATTGAAAGTGCATGTTCTAATACCTTTTTTTTTCATTATTTGTTTGTTGTGATTGTTTTACAGTGACAGTGGGATTTCCAGCACCTGCTCTGATCAATATCTGGACATGAGACCAGTCTCATCCAGACCCACTAACTCAGCTCAGAGTGAGTCACAGACCGCTTTCCTCAGACACACGTCATCATAAAACCAGACGCCACAAAATGCTACAAATCTGCAATATATGAATACCATATTTTGCTCAGTAACATGTTACATTGCGGAAGTGAAAGGAGTTGAGAACCGGGGTTATTACAGTTAACTAAAACTAAAAACAATTTTAAAAATTTTACTAGAAATCTTTTTTTTTTTATGATAAAATAATAAATTTAATAAAATGTAACTTATTTTATTTCAGCTAGTTGCCAAGGCCAACTTGATGTACTAAAATTATGACAATTTTAGTAATAAAAGAAAATAAAGTAAGATTACGAGAATAATGTCATAGCATTGTGAGATTTAAATTGTAATATTTTGTGAATAAAGTCAAAAGTCTCCAAATATATTTTTTTATTTAATCTCAGATAAGTTTATTCTCTTATTGCTCAACTTTATTTGCATGATTTTGACTTTATCAAAATGTCAAAACTGTAATTAAAAAAATGCTCACTTTATTCTCTTAATTTTGACTTTATTCCCAAAATATATCAAGTTTAATCACATATAAGACTATTTCTCGTATTACTTTGACTTTATTCTCATAATTTTGACTTTATTATCAAAATATTGTGACTTTAATCTCACAATGCTATACTTATTCTCATAATTTTGAATTTATTTCCCAAATATTGTGACATTGTTCTGGTAATCTTTTTAAAAAAAATGTTACGAGCCACTACTCTGTCATATGAAATAACTAAAGCTAAAACTGAAATAAAATTAATAAAAAACTATTTAGACATGCTATTTAGACATACAATTAAAATGGAAACAGAAAATACAAAAATAAATAATTCAACTAGCCTAATTAAAAATATTAATAAAAACTATAATAGTATGTAAGTGCTAAAATAACAGTACTAAGAAGATCTTAACTTTAAGAGACCACAAAAAAAGCTGTTAACACTCAGCTGCATCCTCTTGTGCTGCAGGTTCTTCTTTGGATTGTGAGGCTGAAGGTTCGTGGCCGCTGGACATAGACGACTTACTCAGATTCTCATATCAGGTGGCGCAGGGACTCGATTTCCTCGCTGCTAAAAATGTGAGTCCCTAAAATAAGCAGCCTTCACCAAAAACAATGAGATCTGTGTGAGATCTGGAGGAAGTTACATTCACAAACAATAACTAAATTTAAACCTCATCTTCAGTAAATCCAAAACGGATCATTGTGAATTGGTGTCATATTTCTCGACAGTGCATCCACAGAGACGTGGCGGCCAGAAACGTCCTCCTCACCAACAGCCGAGTGGCCAAGATCTGTGATTTCGGTCTGGCGCGAGACATCATGAACGACTCCAACTATGTAGTCAAAGGAAACGTGAGCGAACAAACATCACAAACACTCCACTGAGATCCTAGCTGACAAAAACCGTTGGCTAACGTTCTCGTTACATTATGAAAACGTTATTATATCTGAATGTTCAAAACATCCAGTTTTGTTTTTTTAATGTTTTAAAAAAAAAATCAATTCAATTCAATTTTACAATTCAATTTTAAAATTCAATTTACTCAATTTTATCATTTGGTAAACATTATGGGAATGCTAGTTTTGAATGTTCTCTGAACGTTCTGAAATGAGTAGTTACATTTTAAAAAAACATTTCAGAAAGATTTTTCCAAACATGATGTAAAAATGTTTTTGTGCTAATGTTTTCGGAACATTATAAAATAGCAGATACATTATTCTAATTTATTGAGATGCACCTGTATATACAGTATATGTGTGTGTGTCTATAGGTGCGTCTTCCAGTGAAGTGGATGGCTCCAGAGAGTATTTTCGACTGTGTTTATACGGTTCAGAGTGACGTCTGGTCTTATGGGATCCTGCTGTGGGAGATTTTCTCACTGGGTGAGACTGAAACCCTTGTATTGCATTGCGGGTCAGTTTAACCCGCATTTTTAATGCAGTTTTTAAGTTGTTGGAAATACTGGTTAACCTGTGATTTGTTTTTCTTGATATTTTGGGACTTTTTCTCATTTGGAGTCATGAACATGCATGCAGAGTTTCGACACTTGTGCTTACAAAATTTCTATTATGATTGTGATTTTCGTGAGTCAATTTGACCCAATAAAGGGGTCATGATCTGCCTTTTTTATTATTTTGTACTGTTCTTTAAGGTCCACTTATACTGTTATCAGGATTTTTACATCAAAAAAACAATTTAGAAGTAATAGGCTATTTTCTGTCCTGTTTTGGACGTTGTTGTGATTTAAATTAAAAAAGCATAAATACGCAAAAAGTACATATCAAACGATCTGTAATAACAGACAAAGCAATAGTGACCACATAATAAAAACAGTTGCTCACACTTGTTTGGTGCGACATTACTGTCAGATCCAATATAGTCGCACAGCATCGTCTTTTATTTTCAATCGTTCTGAAAATCCTGTGTCGAATTGTGCTTTGTTTGCAAACGAATCCGTGGTAAAATTAAGGGATCAAAGGACCGATTTCTTACTGACGTGGTCTGGAACTTCATTAAAAATAAACTTCATCCAGTCTTTCCTAATGTTGGGATCAGAAGGAAGGCAATGCAAAGACAACTTTACAGTGTCTTGTTGTCTTCGGAGCATCTTTATCGTTTGATTTCTGCGTAGACCTGTTTGCCTCTCTCGTTGTTTACACTACATGCGCGAATTGGTGGGCGGGGCTAAACAGGCAGTGCTGTAGAAGCAGGCGTTGATGATATTCTGCGGAAGTGGGGTTTAGCCACACTATGTATAGGCGCGTCTTCCAGTGAAGTGGATGGCTCCAGAGAGTATTTTCGACTGCGTTTATACGGTTCAGAGTGACGTCTGGTCTTATGGGATCCTGCTGTGGGAGATTTTCTCACTGGGTGAGACTGAAACCCTTGTATTGCATTGCGGGTCAGTTTAACCCGCATATTTAATGCAGTTTTTAAGTTGTTGGAAATACTGGTTAACCTGTGATTTGTTTTTCTTGATATTTTGGGACTTTTTCTCATTTGGAGTCATGAACATGCATGCAGAGTTTCGACACTTGTGCTTACAAAATTTCTATTATGATTATGATTTTCGTGGGTCAATTTGACCCAATAAAGGGGTCATGATCTGCCTTTTTTATTATTTTGTACTGTTCTTTAAGGTCCACTTATACTGTTATCAGGATTTTTACATCAAAAAAACTATTTAGAAGTAATAGGCTATTTTCTGTCCTGTTTTGGACGTTGTTGTGATTTAGATTAAAAAAGCATAAATACGCAAAAAGTACATATCAAACGATCTGTAATAACAGACAAAGCAATAGTGACCACATAATAAAAACAGTTGCTCACACTTGTTTGGTGCGACATTACTGTCAGATCCAATATAGTCGCACAGCATCGTCTTTTATTTTCAATCGTTCTGAAAATCCTGTGTCGAATTGTGCTTTGTTTGCAAACGAATCCGTGGTAAAATTAAGGGATCAAAGGACCGATTTCTTACTGACGTGGTCTGGAACTTCATTAAAAATAAACTTCATCCAGTCTTTCCTAATGTTGGGATCAGAAGGAAGGCAATGCAAAGACAACTTTACAGTGTCTTGTTGTCTTCGGAGCATCTTTATCGTTTGATTTCTGCGTAGACCTGTTTGCCTCTCTCGTTGTTTACACTACATGCGCGAATTGGTGGGCGGGGCTAAACAGGCAGTGCTGTAGAAGCAGGCGTTGATGATATTCTGCGGAAGTGGGGTTTAGCCACACTATTACATCATAAAGTGGCACATTCCACAACCTGTCGTTTTGGCAGATTGGCTTCAATATAAGCTGTTTTTAGACTAACGAGAATGTTTTGAGTTCTGAAACTTACAGGATGTTTTTATAGTACAATGACCTTTTATATGTCAAAAGATCAAGGGAATTTTGATTTCTCAGTTCATGACCCCTTTAATTTCATGGCTAAAGGCAACTGCGCAGAAAAAAAAATGCCATTCATATTTATGCATTTGCTTTTATTCAAAGACATTTACACTGCATTGATGATGTACAGTTTTTATCAGTTCATGCATGTTCATTTTGCTGGGTATCTAACCCATGATCTTGGTGTTGCAAGCATCATGTGCTTACACTGTTTAAGCTTCGGAAAAACACACAGAAAAAGTGATATTCCACACACTTCTTCTGTTTAAAATGTTATTAATGTTTAAATACTTATAACAGTGTATATTATTTTATAAACAGGAACTATATATAACTTATAATACTGTATATTTAATTTTGTTGTATTTATTTTATGCTGAATTACACTGAATCCAACTGGGGTCAATATGACTCAAAACATCACAATCGTACCCAGATTTTTTACATAAAACATGTATGTATATATATATATATATATATATATATATATATATATACACACAGTATATATATGTAATTTCGTTTACATACAGATCTGAAAAAAAGTCTGCTAACTATTTTTTTATTTAGAGGAAAAAAAATTAACTTAAATGATTTTAGCAAATGGCTGCAATATAACAAAGAGTGAAAAATTTAAGGGGGTCTGAATACTTTCCGTACCCACTGTATATATAGCAAGTGAGATTTATTGTAAGATGCACAAAACACACTTTACAATCAAAACTTCTGACAACGAGAAGTTTGTATGGTTTGAAATGTGGTTTCTCTGCTGAACCCAAAAACCTTTATTTTAATTAAAATATATTAAAGGGGTCATATTATGCTTTTTTAAAGATAATTATTTTGTGTATTTGGTGTAACAGAATCTCTCGCTCTCTCTCTATCTCGCTCTCTCGCTCTCTCTCTCTCGCTCTCGCTCTCGCGCTCTCTCTCGCTCTCTCAAATTCAAATGAGCTTTATTGGCATGACTTGCACAGTATTGCCAAAGCATTGTCCATTACATGAATAAGGAATAAACAATTATATAATATATAAACAAAACAACAATAGATATGTAAAATAATTAAGTAAATAAGTATGTGTACTTTCTTTTTTCTTTTTTCCACAAACAAGAAAAATAGTAAAGGCATTGTTAAAAAGAAAAAAGAAATTGCACAACAGTACATGTAAGAAATGCTCTTGCTTCAGTTTTGTCCACTGGCTGACAGTCTTGGTTTGTGACAGGCTGATATATATCTTGCTGCTGTTGTGATCATTTTGGAATCTTCTCCTAAAATGTGACTTAATTTTTCTGTATTTGGTAATGCCATAAAATGGCAGTCTCATTGAATGCTGGGTTCTGGTTTGAAGTCTCTGTAACAAATGCATGATTTTCTCTTATTGGAGTAAATGTGTGTTTCTCTGCAGGTAAGAGCCCGTATCCCAACATACTGGTGGACTCCAAGTTTTATAAAATGATCAAATGTGGCTATCAGATGTCCAGGCCTGACTTTGCACCTCCAGAGATGTGAGTGAGACGAGCAGTATCACACACACATAATCATTCTTTCACAATTCAGAGTTATAATGAAGTGAAACAAAACTATGAAATAACACAAATGCAAGTGTAAAATAACCATAGTGATGACAAGCATAATCCTGCTCTTCATCCTACATTTTTGAATTGATGGGGTAATTGTTGATTAACCTAGCTGCATGGTGAAATCATGCTGTAGAGTCGGAGTGGCAGGGAAGATGAGAAGCTCAGTCTTTGCCAGGTTGAGCTGCAGGTGATGTTCCTTCATCCATGCTGAGATGTTTGCCAGGCAGCCTGAGATCCATGCATCTACTGTTGGATCGTCTGGTTCAAATGAAAGATAGAGCTGTGTGTCATCAACACAGCAATTGTAGGAGAAACCATGTGCCTGTATGATGTAGTGTATATGGAGAAGAGGAGGGGTCCATGAACTGATCCCTGTGGAACACCTGTAACCAGTTGATGTGCTTTAGATAGCTCTCTCTCTCTTTTAGCAGTGGATGTGGTTGGTTTGGGTTCCTGTGTGCATGGAGCTGAGAACTGACTGCTGATGGTTTTAGTTTTGTCTGTAAAGAATATAACAAAATCAATGGTGGGTGGTGGACGAGGGGGACAGAGGAGAGAATTTAATGTTTTAAAGAGATTAAGTGTGTATGAAGCGCTGTTGATCTTGCTGTGGAGATACAAAGATTGGGCAGTATGGACTTCAACAGAGAAAGATGAAAGCAAAGACTGATACGTACTCAAGTCCGATGGATCTTTCGATTGCCGTCATTTGTGTTTTTGACATTTGATCAGTTTTTAATGTCTATATAGGTTTTAGTATTATGTGTTTTTGTAATTTTATCAGGATTTTCAAAAATATATCTATATAGATTTGATTAATTATTATTTCAGTTTGAGTATTCTGTTGCGTTTTGTCACATCTTTTTTAAAATGTCTATATATATATATATATATATATACTGTATATATTATATTATTATTATTATTAATTTATTTATTTCAGTTTTAGTAATTTAGTTATTTTTTGTAATTTCTTTCAGTTTTTTTTTTTATATGTATATACACTTATTATTCATTTTTATTTCAGGTTAAGTTTTGGTTATTTTAGTACAACAATTCAATTGAAAATGAATAATGTTATTTCAGTTTGTTTTTGTGTTTTTCTTTTTATCTGTATATTTCATTTTGCATTTATAACCAAAATGTATGTCTCCAAAGCTAAATTCAAGCATTTAAGCAGGAACTTTTAGATGAAAAGGTTTTGAAACATCAGTAGTCAAGTTTGTCAAAATCTTTATATGTAATATGTAGTTTTATTCTCATGACAACATGACACATATGAATCTTTCTAGAGACTCAGCACTAAACAAATCCCACAAATAGAAAAATAGCATGAAATTATGAGTTCTCATGCAAGTCAACAGGGTCTGATGTTGACTGATGGGCGGCTCTGATTCAGATCCTGCGTCTCGCTCCGTTTCTGCTGCTTTTTTTGTTGTTCTGCTCAGATCTTTAGTTCTGCGTGTTAAACACATGATCTGACAGCGAGGCTTTGATTTTCCACACATTTCATGCTCGTCCTCTCAGCTTCATCCTAACGGCTCTCTCTCTGCAGCGACTTAAATATCTCTGCATGAGGTTAACAGAGTAAAGATTCACAAACCATCACTATTTTACCCCAGTTGTTCCACTGGTTTAAAAATACTGTGAGATTATTAAAAATAAAAATAAAAAATCCAAGCAGTATTTTTCATTGAGCATGTCAATTAGGTGCTTTGGTGCTTTAAATCAACTAATAAAACTATAAAGAGTCAATCTGAAACATGGTGATAATACTGTATGTTGTTTATTTAAATTATTTTGTTACAAAACTAGAAGAGGGTGTGATTATTGCTTCAGTTCACGCTGCAGGAATGTTGCATGCAAAATACAATGTGACCAAATAACAGCAATCGAGTTAACTCACTTAACTTGAGCTACGCTCAACTCACTACAAAAACCCATTATCAGAAACACATATTGCTATGATGCTCATACTTTACAGTTTATGTCAAGTAATAAATGTGCTTAATGAGATGTGCTTAACATGATGTCTTAATGATAATGCTTAATGCAACAACTCATAATGCTCTTAAAACAGAGGCTTCGTTTTCCATAAACAATTCCTATTTCTTTCTTTTGGTTTTGCAAAGAATGTGATTGAGGTTTTGTGATAGTAAATCACATGATGTTGTGTTCAGGTACACCATCATGGAGATGTGCTGGAACCTGGAAGCCGCTGAGAGACCAACATTCAGTAAGATCAGTCAGATGATCGAGAGGATGCTGGGAGATACAGCGGATCCACAGGTACATCACTCATGAGATCTCATGCAGTCAGACCTGAAGACACAGTTAGGCCAGAGACTGTCTGTATGTCTGTCTATCTATCTATCTATCTATCAGTATCCACCTTATTTTTCAAAGCAGAAGATATTTCCAGTTATTACACGGCTCTGTGGAATACTTGATTCTGATTGGTCAATCGTGCCATCCAGCGGTATGTTATTCCCAGATAACAACCGCCAAATTGAATAACACACCGCTCATCCGGGTACTACGAGTTATCTTGACCGGTACTACTTATATGCTTAACGAGTCACTCCGCTATCGTTGACTGTCTGGCACCATCTTGTGACTGAAAACACTTAACCAACGCGTGTTACAATGGAAGACTTCAGCATTAATTTCAACATATATGGTAAAAACAACTGTTTATTGTAATTAATGATACGACTGTACATTATGCCTTAAATGTTCGTATTGTCTGACTTCAAAAGGCTCAAAGCAGTTTGTTAGGAACTGTTTTTCTTCGCGGAAGCTTTGCGTAAGAGCTAATAAAATATTTCAACTCAAGTCAATATTTCATGTCTAATTTACTTGAGACAAGTAGCCGTGTAATAAAAAAGTGGCTAATGCATCGGAAGTGTTGCGCGTTAAGTAAGGGATAGTGTACATCCAGCCGGTTGTTATCTCAGAATAAACTCCTTCAGGCTGATACAAGACCTCCGCTTCGCGTCGGGGTCCTGATCTCCCTGTCGGGGGTTTATTCTGAGATAACAACTGGCTGGATGTACCCTTACTTAACGCGCAACACTTCCGATGCATTAGCCACTATAGGTAAATAACTATTTGTATTTTAATTTTGGGTTTTGCATTTCAACTTTTGCTCTTTATATTTTTGTGCATTTCAGTTTTGCATTTTTCATTTAAATTTTTGCATTTTGAACTCGTATTTTGCATTTTAATACACATTTAGCATATTTTACATTTTCATATAACAATTTCCGTTGCAGGCAACTTTTTGCAGTCTGATCAGATCATGAGATGAGATGTTAAAAATTGAGGTTGATATCATTTTAAATGCATTGCATTGTGGGATACGGTATCTCACACAGTGTGCATGCTGTACTTTTTGAAAAATTTAGTTTGTCTTCCATATATATCCCTTCCAAGCATATAGAAAAACCGTGAACATACTGCAGGATTAGTTAATGTGTGTTATTTTGAACACAATCTAGTCTGTAGTGTAGTGAGTAATGAACGAGTCATATTCATGAAATATTTCCCCAGGAGACACAGTACCAAAATGTCCAGTCAAACGCACACGGTGACGAACAACTAGAGTCATGTGACTCTGTGAAGCATGAAGATGAATCATTTGAGACGTCTTGTGACCAGGAAGAAGAAGATCAGCCGCTCATGAAACCCAACAACTACCAGTTCTGCTGAGGGCCTAACTAACCAGCTAACTAACTAATGCGGCATCTTCTGTCTGAACATCAACAATAGTTGCACAATCCGTCCACAATCACATGCATGTGAACAAAGAACTGATGTCGCCAAACATGCTCACCGTGTGATTTTACACGCTCTGATTTTGTAGTTCTGCTCGCTTGAAATCTCGTAAACAGTCTTGAACTCGTCTGCAGAGTTGAAGCATGTTTAAATGAACCAGTTTCACTTCTCGGCTAAGTCGAAAACCGCCAAAGCTCGTATTTGTTTGTCGTCCGATGTGCCTTTTTGGTAACCGTGCGTCTTTTTTGTTACTTGAACTTCTCTGTTGCCCAAGTTGGAAAGCAGCTTGTTCAGCGTTTTAAATGCAAACGCTGCATGTTCCACTTCCACTTCATACTTGATCTGCATGTCAGTCGTGCTTCTTTCTTTAAAGTAACTGAAAATGAACACAGACACACGTAACTCTTTTTGTGCAGCTAAAATAACTGGAACCGAATGACACCGGTTAGGGGCGCCGCTATGGTTTCTGGGCCCCCTCCACGATTGCGTTCCGGTGGGGGAGCGGCGTTGGGTGGGTGTTCGTGTTCCGGGCCCCCTCTCCCTCGTCGGGCCCTTGGAATTGGCCTAATCTCCCCCCCCCCATTTACAGCGCCCCTGACACCAGTACCCTTACACATTCAAGCTATAAATGGCCACATTCTTATGTTAAAAATAAAGTGTATACTACATAGCCCCACACATGACATGCAATAAAAAATTTATAAATCGTGTGCACGATTTACTAATTCGTTCCCTTGATGTACTAAAACGTGCGCACAATTTACGAATTCGTTCTCTCGATTTATAAATCACATGCACGATTTAGCAAATCGAGGGAACAAATTAGTAAATCGTGTGCACAATTTATAAATCGAGGGAACGAAATAGTAAATTGTGCACACGATTTAGCCTACTATTTTTTTCCTGCATGCCATGTGCGGGGCTCCGCAGTATACAACATATACAGCCTACTATTTATTGTTAAATTGTCAGTGCAACAATATGCTATAACGGCATATTCGGAAATTGCATTTTTATTTTTTTTACATTATAATGTTGCATTCTAAAGGTTTTGCTTCTTTTTTTTTTTGCATTTTAATTTTGCATTTGCAAGTTACAAATGGCCATGTTCTTACATTAAAAATAAAGTGTACACACCATATATGGCTTAGCCAATGCAACAGTATGCAATAACTTTCTAATTTCAAACTTTGCATTTAAATTTTTTTATTTTGTATTTTAGTTTTAACTCACTGTAACGGTCACATAACACTTGCAACCGACATGAATCTCATTAATTGCGCGGCTGAAGGAAATCAGTGCAGGTGAGAGGACAGATATGAAATCATTCTGTCAGTTTATCTCCTGCTCTAGTTCTTAGTCAATCCTTGAAGGCAAACACAATATTGTATTGCTTCCTGCAGTGATTACGGTCATTTGGAGTGATAGCGTGAGGTCAGCACAGGTTTGGAGGACAGCTGTTGGTGCAATAATGTTTCGGCTGATCCTTGTCTTATTTTTTCAGATAACTGAGGGTCAAAGGTTAAATGCGTTCTCATTTATCACTGAAGCCTTAGAAATGGACCTGAGGACAATGACTGACTGACTGCACAGAAACCATTTCAGGATGAAAAACTAACCATTTGCTTTACCTTTAATGTAAAATTAAAATTAAATGAAAGTTTCATTTAATTTTCATATGCATATTTACACTTGATTATTTTGATGTGCAGCAAATGTTTATATAGAAGAAATGTTGTAAGCTGAATGTCACATTTTGTTTTCAACAAGTCAACCTCTCAAACAGACAAATCTGTTGTTTTTTTTCTGTAGTTTCTTAACTGTTTGCTGTCAAATGAAGCATCAGACACACACTGCCAGAGTAACTGTAGGTTGCTTAAAATGTGATTATATTAGAACAGGTAGCACTTTAATTTTGCTTTTGCATTTTAATGTCATTTTTAAACGTTTACTTCAGTTGCAACTGAATTTCACATTTTGCATTTTAATTTCATTTTCAAATTTTTCACTTTAGTCGAACTCTCAAACAGAAAAATCCGTCATTTTTTCTGTAGTTTATTAACGGTTTGAAATGGGTAAATCTTTGTTTTTGTACTCCAAACGGTTTGCTTTCATCAAAGTTTATTTGAACTCTCAGATGAAGCATCAGACACACTGCCAGAGTAACGTTAGGTTGATAAAATGTGATTTAACCTTTTTTCGTTCTCAAAGCACAAACTGCCATGTTTATATTATATCCTTATTTACATTTATTCTAATGCAACAATTTTTTGTATGATTCATAGTTCAATTATGTGAGATTGAATCGTTATAATGACATCTTTTCTCAGTGTTTATCTGTGTTCTAGTTCCCATGAGTCGCATCTTAATGAGTTCTGCACCTTTGATAGCTACACATCTGTATGTTTTAGTTTTACTACAGAACTTGCTACTGAAAGCTACTAATAAACCATGGAAATGTCTTGTTTTTATCAGTTTATTGGGAGCGATTGGGAGGTCAATCCATGTCAAACATTTGAGTTTGAGCACATTATCTGTTATGAACCGGATCTCTTAGAATAAATACGTCAACATGTCAAAATGTTTTTCTATGCATGAAAATGCCATCAAAATATGAAATGTAAATAAATACTGTCGGTTTTCCACCTGTAGTGGGTTTCACTTTTCTGTGGGCAATAAAATGCTTGTTATTCACAATCATAAATATGTCAGATACAGCATCAGAGACACACAAGGCCAGCTATTTTTCAGGGAACATGAATCTGCAGGCGTCATTTACTCACTCTCGTGTCATTCCAAACCACGCTGCTCTTTTCCATATAATGTAAGTGAATGGTGATTTAAACAGGCTCCAAAAAGCACTAAAAACTGATTTTTAGGACAACATTTTAAGATTTATGTTTTTGAAATGCATATATATATAAACAAAATAAAAAATTGAAATCACACTCTGTCTTTCCAGGCACATTTTGTCTGTTTTATTAAAAAACTGTTATTCGGAAATTGCATTTTTATTTTTTTTACATTATAATGTTGCATTCTAAAGGTTTTGCTTCTTTTTTTTTTTGCATTTTAATTTTGCATTTGCAAGTTACAAATGGCCATGTTCTTACATTAAAAATAAAGTGTACACACCATATATGGCTTAGCCAATGCAACAGTATGCAATAACTTTCTAATTTCAAACTTTGCATTTTAATTTTTTTATTTTGCATTTTAGTTTTAACTCACTGTAACGGTCACATAACACTTGCAACCGACATGAATCTCATTAATTGCGCGGCTGAAGGAAATCAGTGCGTGTCATTCCAAACCACGCTGCTCTTTTCCATATAATGTAAGTGAATGGTGATTTAAACAGGCTCCAAAAAGCACTAAAAACGGATTTTTAGGACAACATTTTAAGATTTATGTTTTTGAAATGCATATATATATATAAACAAAATAAAAAATTGAAATCACACTCTGTCTTTCCAGGCACATTTTGTCTGTTTTATTAAAAAACTGTTGAGTAAACCTGAGTCAGATGAGCATCACCTCGTCAGATGAGCACCCCCCCCTCGACCCCGCCTCCGTCCGAGTGTTTGTCCAGTCCTCCGTCAGCCGTTTCCTCCTCCACTTCCTGCGGGTCCGAGTTGATCTGCGCGACTCCCAGCCTGTAGAGGGCGTCTCTGATCATCACCACCTCCCCCGGCTGACAGGCACTCAGCACCTCCGCGATCTGCTGGTTCACGATGTCTCTGCTGCTCAGGAAGTCCAGCAGGCGGTTATAGAGGTAGTAATACGCTGCGTTCTCGAACACGAGAGCTTTCCGCCGAGATGCCGTTGCGCTGCTGTCGTCGAAGCTGGTTTCACCCTCGGGTTTGTCACAGATCTCTGCGACGGCGCCGGCGTACGGCTCCAGCTCTTTGCAGAGGGTGATGGCGTGGTGGGCGTCGTGGAGAGCGCTCGGTCTGTCGGGTCGCACTATCCAGCGAGAGGCGGATTTGGTGAGCGGGTGCAGATGAGGGTTGGACTCAGTCGCTGTCAGATCCAAACTGTACGGCTGGTCCTGAAGCTCCGAGCAGGAGACGTACTGAAAGAGGGGAGGAGACAGATGTGATTGACAGTTCAACGGCCAATCAGGCGTTTTAAAATCTGTGTACATGTTCACTGCGAGGACAATTTACCATGAGGTGTACAACTCAACAAAAACCTATTTTTTTTGAAGGAATATTTTCACTTTCATTTTATTTGTACAGCGCTTTTCACGTTATTTGACGTCTCAAAGTAGCTTTTCAGAAATAAATGGACTAAGTTATGATATTTAAATTTCCTTCATGGAATTGTCACTATAAATGTGTTGTACAGAAAGATTCTTAAAAATGTAGCTAAAAACCTCTCCAAAATTGCATTTTATTTGTATATGTGGTAATATTATATATTGTTAATGTCTGTGTATGCAGGGTTATTACAGTTAACTGAAACTAAAGCCATACAAAAAATCATCACTTTAAATTAAATAAAAAAACCTTACATTTATTTTATTTCATTTTATGTGATGTACTAAAATAACTAAAACTGAAATAAAAATGTATAAAAACATTTTTAAAAAATACTAAAAATGGCGCACACAAAAACCCCACAACAAAATTACTAAAAGGCCAACTAAATTTTAATTGAAAAAAAAACGTAATTTCTTAAAAATATTGGTTTCGTTAAAAAAAAAAAGGAAGATATAACAGCAGATGGGTTTAAAACATGTTTTTAATGATATATTATGATGACGAATATTGTCGATATAATGCACCGACACTTTGAACTGAATTAATTTGAATAACGACACTATTGTGCTCTGTACTGCTGTTCTGTAGATTTCATTACTTGAAATAAAATAAGCTTTAACTGAATTAAAACAAAATCTCAAAAATGTAACTTCTTTTATTTCAGACAGTTGCCAAGGCAAAATTTTTCATTTTAATTTAGCTTAACTTGGTGTACTAAAATAAATAAATAAAACTAAAATTAAAAAACTAAAAATGGCAAAACACCACAAAATTACTATAACTTTAAAATTGAAATGAAAAGGAAATATATATATATATATATATATACATCCATTTGTATACAATATTTATATTTTTTTCTGTTAGTATTGGGTTATAGAATGTACCCATAAAGATAGCAGAGTTAAGGTGTGTGTGTGTGTGTGTGTGTGTGTGTGTGTGGCAGTGTACTTTATCAGTGTCTGCAGCAGCAGGAATCCCACATTTCTCCAGCACGTCTCTGAGCTCCTCCTCACTATGCAGATCCATCTGATTTGGAATCAGATGACCCTCATGGATCAGACGTACCAGAACAGATGGGTCCCCTGAAACACACACACACACACACACACACACACAGGTTTGTTTTTGTGAAAAGTGGGGACATCCCATAGGCGTAATGGTTTTTATACTGTACAGACCGTATATTCTATTGCCCTTTACCAACCCTACCCCTAAACCTACCCCTCACAGGAGACTTTGTGTTATTTCAGATTTTCAATACACTCCATTCTGTGTGATTTATAAGCGTTTTGAAAAGTGGGGACATGGGGTAATGTCCTGAAAAGTCACCTTCTCCTTGTAATACCTATGTCATACCTTTGTCATTATACAAATATATGTCCTCATTTGTCACAAAAACGCGTACACACACACACACACACACACACACAAGTAAAGAGAATAATGCTGAAACCAAGCATTAAAGTGCCAAGTCACCTTTATAATAAAGCCTGATATATGACATAACAGTCTGAAAAATCCACTGAAATGGAAGTTTATTGAACCTTTAGACAAAATATAAAAAAAAAGGTTTGCACGTGTGTTTTATGTTTTGTATCATGTTTGATCCATCAAGTTTTTATGCCTCATATAGTCTAATATAGTGATAATATGGCTGAAAAAAAAGCTCAATTTGATTGCAATTTGATGCAGATGCTGATATTTGGACAAAAAGATGAAAGTCTGATTGTAAAGCAAATCAATGAGATCTTTATAACAGTATAGCAGATACTTACATAAAATTATATAAATATCAGTCGTCACTCTATATCTCCAATAATATGTCTTAGTAAGATATTTAAGATAGCTGATAAGATAGTTGTTCCTTCAAGATGGCGCTGCATATGGCTGCCTCGGTGAGGAGCTCTCCAGTTGTTTTAATGTTTTTGTTAGTTTTTCAAACACAATACGTTTTACCAGGTTTGAGCTGCTGAAACTACTTCTGCTCTACTGAATAAATAAGGACTTTTCAAACTCTGCTGCTCTGTGTTTCATGGAAACCTGGCTGAATTTCCATTCCGGACAGCGCTTTATATCTGCCGGGCTTCCAGCTGTTCAGAGCGGATCTCGACGCAGAATCAATGAGGAAATCACAGACATAGAGCAACAACACCCGGACTCGGTTATAATCATTCCTGGTGACTTTAAAGCAGCACTATGTAACTTTTTCTGGGTTCAAAATTAGCTAAATGTATATGATGAGTGAGTACATCATGAATGAATCTTCCAAACCGCGTTTTTGTCTTATTCTGAATCACTACGGTACACTTATAATAAGTACTTATATTTGGACTATTGTAGCCTGGTCGGGTCGTCACCGCTGCAGAGTAACACATACCTGCGTGAATCGCCATAGACATAAACTTAGAGAAGTAGCTCCGGTTGGAATGTTCTTCCGCGGGATGTGAGCAGTTCTGTTTATTAACCGCTAGAGCGCCAAGTTACATAGTGCTGCTTTAATAAAGCAAATCTCTCCTGTGAACTGTCAAAATACAGACAGCATGTTATATGTCCTACCAGAGACCGTAATATACTGGACCACTGTTATACCACAATAAAGGATGCTGACCTCCATCTTTTCACAGATCTTCATCAGATCACTGGAGCTGTGCGAAGTCCCTTCCTGCTTCAAACACTCCACCATCATCCCCATCCCAAACAAACCCAAAATCACAGGACTTAATGACTACCGTACACACCTGTTGCATTAAAATCTGAGGTCATGAAGTCGTTTGAGAGACTGGTGTTGGCTTATCTGCAGGACATCACTGGACCCTTACTGGACCCCCTGCAGTTTGCTTATCGAGCAAACAGGTCAGTGCATGATGCAGTCAACATGGGAGTGCATTATATCCTACAGCATCTGGACAAGCCAGGGACTTCTGTGAGGAACCTGTTTGTAGACCTCAGTTCAGCCTATCATCCCAAACCAGCACAGCCGTCATTTCAGCAGCTCTTTCTGATTTTGATTCTAAATGCTTAGTTTGATGATCAAAACATACAATGCAATGCGATGATGACTGAGAGATGAACTTATAAATGTTCCTCAAAAGCCTGATGATCATATTTGACACTCACTGATTGTCTGGATAATCAAGTAAAGCTAAGTTGCTTCAGTCTATCAAGTAAAACAATAAAAAGTGTGAAGACACGTGAAGCACGAGCTGAGGGTGAACGTTTGTATAATTATACAAATAGGACTTTTACTTGCTAAAAAAAGTTTAAACTATCAATCATACGACAGAAGTTTCGATAATGTTGATCATTTGGAGGCCTTAGTTAAACTCGTACCTCTGAGCTGTATGTCAGCCGTGATTTTGTCTTTCTCGGTGTTGATGACGGTGGTGTTTCTCATGAGAGGAGGGATGAATGGGGCGATGATAGAGGCGTCAAAGCGTGTGATGGGAAAGCTGGAGGGAAACGCTGCCTGTTCCAGCGCCTCGTTCTCCATCGTCAGCCAAAACTCGTCAACGTGGACCTCATCTGTCGCCTGGAAATCAGGCCATGTGAACTACAGAGAGAGAAGAACAGTCATTTATCTAAATGTCTTGAGTTACTGTGCTATATTTGACCTTATTACAGTTTTAGTTGTTTCAGTATTACTTATGCATTTTATATTTATATAGTATTATAGTATATTATTATTTTGGATTAGATTAGATTTTTTATTTTATTATTAATTTTTTTTATATTTATATTAATACATTAAATTAAATTGAATTTTACTTTAAAAAAATGTTTGTATTTCAGCACATTTCATTTACTGTAGTTACCAACAAGTGACTTGTTTTGAGTTTTTCATCTACTATTTATATATAAATTGATATATTAATTTAAATTTAAATAAAATAAGTTTCATTTTTTATTTTGTTTTATTTCAGTAAACCTTTACTTGATTTCAAGTAATGAAAAAGTTTTTTTTTAAGGTTTTGAAACTATAATAGTATCTTATTAATAGTAATATAAGATTGCCGTTACCTCCACGTTTTTGAGCAGTAACACGTTGTTGCAGTTGCGTTGCGCGATCTCCAGTTTGGGAGCGATGCCGCACACGCCACAGATCATGTCGTTATAGTCTCGAACCGTCAGACACTCAAACGCCCAGTAACCGCTGCAGAACAGGTCCTGAACACACGACAGCTGATCCGAGCTCAACGCACCGTCTGAACCACACACAGAGAGACACGTTAACCTCACGCACACGCTCAGTAGATGAGAGATGAGGATGAGGAGGATGAAGCACCTGTGAGCGTCAGTGAGTGTTTGATTATACTGAGAGCAGCGTGTGCAGGTTCATCGCCCAGTCTGATCTGAGGTCTCATCTTAAAGAACAAATCCAGCGTCACCAGCAGCTTATTACCCACGTTAAACAGACCTGAGAAAAACAAACACACTGAAACACAAACTGCAGTAATACATATCAACAGGTTGCATTATCAATGTTAGATTTTAGTATTGAGATACCTTTGTTTTTTTTTTTAGTGTGTGTGAATTTTTTTGTGAGTTTTTATTGTCGTATTTTCTGTTTTCGTTTTAATTTGAGTTTTTGTTGTGTTTTGACATTTTTATTAGTTTTTTTTTTTTTAAATGTCATTTTAATTTTAGTTAACATTTTTGTAATTTTGTTGTGTGTGGTTTTTTTGTGTTCTTAATGGTTTTTCTTAGTTTTTTGTTTTTTTTATATTTTGTTTTGAGTAAGTTTTTATTTTCATGTTTTCAGTTTTTTATTTTTTTTATTTTAATGTTTTACTAATTTTGTCATTTTAAATATTTTCTTTTAAATATGCCTATGTAGTTTTTATAAATTTTTATTTTTATTTGAATGAGCTTTTATTTCCATATTTCTGCTTTCATTTTAATTTCAGTTAAAGTTTTAGTAATTTGTTGTTTTTGTCATTTTTTATTATTATTGTTATTATTTATTTATTTTTATGTCTATGGATACATTTTTTGTTCATTTTTTATTGAAGTTTCAATTATCTTAGTACATCAAGTCAAATTAAATGAAAATGAAAAATGCTGCCATGGCAAATAGCTGAAATAAATTAAGTTGAAGGATTTGTATTTATTTATTTTTTCATTTTATTTTATATCAGTTAACATTTATTTTATTTCAAGTTTGAGTAATTTTGTTGTGAGCTTTTTGTCATTTATATTATTATAATTAGTTTTATTATTATTCTAAATATATCTATATATATTTTACTAACTTACTTTTTTAGTTTTAATAATTTTAGTACTTCAAGTTAAACTAAACAAAAATGAGAAATGTTGCCTTGGCAAATAATTGAAATGAAATAAGTTTATTGAACACAAGACAAATGAACATATTTTCGTGTGTGTGTGTGTGTGTGTTTACCCGGGTGCAGGTCTGTGAAACTGTGTATGGCCAGACACTGGAGATTCGTACAGACTTTCAGCTGTAGAGTAACGGGACGAATCAAACACTCCGTCAACAACCAGCATTCCTCCAACCCCGCAAGCGAACTAAAAAATACAAAACAACAACAACACAACATGTAAATCTCCATCTGAGAACATGAGCTCTGTCTGATCAGTCTGCTCTCACCTCTGGTTTCCTTTGAGCAGTGGATGTTGACACAGACTGCAGTGCGTGGCCGCCGGCTCGTAGAAGCTCGGCCATCCGCTGGTCTCCTCGGTGTGCTTCTGCTGGCCGTTGAGCTGCTGTATGAGGCTGAAGACATCCTGTAGCTCGCTCTCGCTCTCGGGGAACTGCAGACAGGAGCGCAGCAGACTGACGGTGGAGTGACGCTGCTGCTCTTTCTGAGCGCCGCTCAGAGGCTGAGACGCATCCCACAGAACCGCAGAAGAGCACACATCCTCAGCGGACGGCTGGAGAAAACACACACACACACACACAACCAGAGAAAACACAATTTCAGTTCAGTTTAACTCCTCTTACAGTCCACCGAGACTAGAGCTGAAACCAGTTATTATAATTAAAACTAAAACCATAATGAAATGTGGCCATAAAACCATTTTATTATTTGAAATAAAATTAACTGAAATAAAATTAAATATACAAAAAATTAACTTATTTTATTTCGGTTAGTTGCCAACATTTCTTATTTTTGTTTAGCGACAAAAACGGACATATTAAAAATTCCTAATAAAAATGACAAAAAAAAACCTAATTAAACTTGGATAAAAATGTAAGAAAAGTTATTTTAACGCAGCTAGTTCAAGGCAACATTTTCCCATGTTGTTTAGGGTATCTTAATTTAAAACTGTTAGTAAAAACTATATAGATATATTTAAAGAGAAAATGACAATAAAAATCACAAAAAACACAACAAAATTGCTAAAACTTCAAATAAAATAAATGTTAACTGAAATAACACAAAATATAAAAACATTTAATTTCAGTTATTTGCCAAGGCAGCATTTCTAATTTTTGTGTAGATTAACCTGATGTACGAAAAAAACATAATTAAATAAAAATGTAAAAAAACAAAACAAAAAACACTACTAAAACTTGGAATAAAATAAACAACTACTAAAATACAATATAAACAACTTATTTAAATTCAGCTAGTTGCCAAGGTATTTTCTTATTATAAAATGATTAAAACTATCTGTTAGTAAAAACTGCGTAGACATATGTAAAAAATAAATAAAATAAAAATGACAAATACACAACCAAATTACTAAACAAATACTAAAAATGATCAAAATGAAAATGAAAATTATATATTAAAAAAACAAAAAATAAATAAATAAAAGTGACAAACACAACAAAATTACTAACACTTTTATCAAAATGAAAATATAAAAATAAAAACTAATTCAAAATACTAATGGAAAAAATAATAGTTAATATTAATGATACTAAAATAACACTATTCAGATGGGATTTTTTTAACTAAATTTGAGTGTCTTGTAATGGTTTAAGTCGACTGTCGGCTGTGCAGTGAGCGCTGGAACTAACTGTGAGTTTGTTCTTCTTGGTGGGTTTGTTGGTGAGTTCACAGCCGCAGGTCGGACAGTGTTGAGGTTTGTGTCTGTTCTTATAGACGTAATCACACGCGGGATTCTTACATCGACCGCGACCTCTCGCTGTAGACAAACCCAGAGCCTGAGGAACAGAAAAATACATAGAGAACTGAGCAACAGTCACCAGACTAAATACTGAATCTGTACTACATCGCAAACACAGAGAAACACAAACATGCTCAAACGTTTGTTCTCTAAACGCTTGTGTTGTCTGTCTCAGCAGTGTGTGAACACTCACTAGGGAGGATCCAGCTGTCTTCTTGAGGGGCAGCATGGAGAGGATCTTGATGCCGTTGTCTGTGATGATGTACTGGTTACTGCTGACCGTGATGGGCTTCTGAAATCACAGTTCAACAGCTTTTACCATGTATCACACACACCAGTCTCAAATCATTCTTATTATCATCATCTCAGATTATTATTATTATTATTATTGTTGTTATTTATATTGTTAGTTTTATTATCTCAGATTGTTACTTTGTATTAATTTATTATTATTATGTTGTTGTATTATTATTATAATTACTGTAGTATTGTTGTTATTATTTTGTTAATTTTTCTTATTGTTGTTGTTGTTTTTATTACATTATTATTCTATCAGATAATTACTGTTGTTGTTATTATTATTATTATTATTATTTTGTATTATCATTATTATTATTGTCACAGTTATTTTTCATTTTTAGATAATTTTTCTTGTTGTTATTATTGTTATATTTATTACTTTATTATTCTCTCATTATTTTGACTTCTCTCAGATTATTATTATTATTTTGTATTATTTCTATTGTTGTTGTTATTTTTATTATTCTCTCAGATTATTTGTACTCTTCTCTCAGATTATTATTATTTCTATTTCTATTGTTAGTTTTATTATTCTTTCAGATTATTTTGACTCTTCTCTCAGATTATTATTATTATTATTATGTATTATTTCTATTGTTGTTGTTATTTTTATTATTCTCAGATTATTTGTACTCCTCTCAGATTATTATTATTATTATTTCTATTGTTAGTTTTATTATTCTTTCAGATTATTTTGACTCTTCTCTCAGATTATTATTATTATTATTATGTATTATTTCTATTGTTGTTGTTATTTTTATTATTCTCAGATTATTTGTACTCCTCTCAGATTATTATTATTATTATTTCTATTGTTAGTTTTATTATTCTTTCAGATTATTTTGACTCTTCTCTCAGATTATTATTATTATTATTATGTATTATTTCTATTGTTGTTGTTATTTTTATTATTCTCAGATTATTTGTACTCCTCTCAGATTATTATTATTATTATTTCTATTGTTAGTTTTATTATTCTTTCAGATTATTTTGACTCTTCTCTCAGATTATTATTATTATTATTATGTATTATTTCTATTGTTGTTGTTATTTTTATTATTCTCAGATTATTTGTACTCTTCTCTCAGATTATTATTATT